CAGTTTTAAATGCAGTTCCACATACAATCATTTCCATGTGGATAAATACTTTATACTGTATATAAATATATACTGCATTTATTACTGTACTTATACTGTATATAAATCTGTGTGGATTTCTGTAAGCTTTCCATTTTAAGATGCTGTACACTTTACTTCAATTAAGAAAACTAGTGGTGACAGAACTCCCATAGGTAAAAAAGTGCCTCCTGTTCTTAGCTGTATGATTAAATTCAGACCTCAAGGTACATTGAAAGAAAAACTTGTGGTTGCTGAATTTTATGTTTAAGATTTTCCATTTACATCTGCAGTTATCTAAAAAAGTGTAGCTTCCCTTGTTAGCAAAATACATGAAATCTGTATACAAGAAAGCCTTTGTCACCTGAGCAGACTGGGGCAGAAAGAGGAAACTACCTCAGCCATTTCACCCTGCAACTCACAACTGGCAGCCCACTGAAGCTCAGCAGTCTGAGCCTGTCCAGTACCTGGATGGGAGACCTCCTGGGAAAAAGGTTGCTGCTGGTAGACAAGGTACAGGAGCCAGTAGGTGGCGCTCACCCTGCGGTCTGTGTGGTAAATTATGACTCTCTGTGGTCATTAAAAATCCCAGGGCATTTCTCGAAAGGAGTAGGGCTATAACCCAGCATCCTGGCCAAATTTCCCATTAGTATTTACCATTGATGGCTTCTAATATCCCCATCTATGAACTGGCTTCATCACTCTTTTCTCCTCCCAACTGTTAGCTGGTGTGTGGTGAGCATAGTGGCGCACTATGGCTGCCATCACATCATCCAGGTGGGGCTGCACATTGGTGGTGGTGGAGGAGAGTCCCCAGTGCTTTGAGTGGCGTGTCCAGAAAAGCACTACATAAGTGTAAGGAATTATTATTATTGTATGTAAAGGAGACTAAAAAAAAACAAAGATGCCTTTGGGAATGTGCAAGAGTTCTCACAAGTGTTGCAACAGTAAAATTAGTCATTGTAAATTACTGTGGAACAGATTTAGTGTGTATTCCATTTTTGCTTTCTTTTTTTGTGCATGGTTTTATGTTTTTTCACATTTCATGATTTTTAATGCAACGCCTACTCATATATGTGTAGATGTTTCTTTCTAAATATAGATCTGTTATCAGCTACATTAGCAAGCATTGTTTACAGTAGACTGTTATTTTTTTAAAAAACGACTTAAAGCTTCTTTTCTTCTAATAATGAGACTGCACGCCAGAAAGTATCAGCAAAGCAGATTTTCGTAAAACAGGTCAAATCCTTTGGGGGGGAAAAGTAAACAAGTAGATTGTATCATTAGGAAGTAATTAAAAAAATACTTAATCCGCTTTCGTAATTAAAAGGATCTGGTGTGTTTTGATTGAGAGCTTTGTTTGTCTTGCAAAAAAAAAAACAAAAAAAAATCTCATTTAATCTCATCTAATTTGAAGCAATGCAAACCCACAATATTGCATGGTGGCAAATTGTGATAATGTAAGAGCAACAGAAACTGACAGCAGATGCCCAGGCTTTATTTGGTTCCTGCACATTACCACATTTGGTCTTAACAACATGCAACTTGCAGTTCAACGGGAAGGCCTTTAGAATAAGATTGCTCTAGTGTGCATCCAAACCAGTGAGGAAGTACTGATTATGCCAGAGGAGCTCAATGTGTCCGGATTCTTGCACATAGGCAGCACTTACTATTCAAGTAGATTGGAAGTGATGGGTAAATACATAGAAAAAAACACAGATTAAAGGAGGCATGTAACCTTTTAGAGGCATTTAAGAAAAGCAAAGATTTTTTTGTACTATCACGGTCATCAGTGAATCAATTACAGCTCGTTGAATAATCTGTTTCTCTTTGCATTAATGTACAGTATTTTACCAGTGCAAAACCTTGTGGGTGCAGACTAAGCTACAAACGAATCTGCTCTGTGTGAGTACAGAGCATATTTTAGAGCATACAGTATTTGTCCTCTGATTTTTATTGATCTGCATAATGGACAGATTTGCCTGTTAGGCTGTGACTGTGTCTGCCTAGTTTCGATTCAGCACTGGTGTTTTGTTGGGCGTGCTTCACATCTGCTTTCTTGAACTGCCAGGTGGTTTAGAGAGAATGCTCAATTGCAGCTGGACATCTGAATTTCTGAATGTCAAGAGACAGTAACAGGTAATTGCTGCCTGTAATGTTTAAATATTTTGAAAGATAATTAGGCAACTTCCCATAAATTGCACTTTCTGTAAGTACACTAGTGCTTACCTGCCAGAAATCTTGTTGGGAAGATTCCATCAACTAAACGTTGGTCACATTTTAAAATGAATTGCAATTCAGTCCATGTTCATGTGAATCTTGAGTCAAGTCAGATCATCAGCTGATCATCATAATGAGAAAGAGATGGGGCCTTCTTTCTTGGGGTCTTTGGTATTCCCCCCACCAAAGGAAATTTCTATGGGCTTCAATCTCAAATATCCAGAACAGCTATCATACAATGTGTGCACTCAGTCCACAAAACAACAGGAAGAAAGACAACAAATAAAAAAACCCAGTCTTGGTATGTACGTGACCACACAAGATTAAGTACTTTGTGCTGCATATTTATAATCACAAATACATTTGCAGTCACACAGACCTGTTCAGCATAATCAGTCACTGCAGCATTTCTGTTTACATAGAGTGGACAGCAGGAAAGAACCCAGGTAATTATAATGAAAGAGATGGTGGCACAAACTGTGTGCAATTACCTCATCATGAAAACCCAAAGTGTGTAAAATTACCTTTCTCTGAGTGCCACAGATCTTTGCAACCATTCTGACTCCCCCTGGCTGATTTAATAGAGGTACTACAAATGTGTGCGTACATAAGTAAAGAATATATCACGGTAGACTGATTCATGATTTTTACTTTCACCCTTTTGGATGTAGTCCAAATACAAGATTCAGTACTTGTGCACAAGCAATGGCAAATTAATCATCTCAAGCTATTACAATGACCCATTGCACAAGTAAAAGTAGCTGTAAACAGATTGCAAATCAATTCATAATTCAGTTTGAAATAAGTCCGTTTCTTAATTCGGAGTGTAATGGAATGCTGAAAAAATTAAAAATGCTCGTTCATGTTTATTGTATGAAACATCCTGGATATCAAGGGCCAGAAGATGCATTTTGTCCACGGTGATGACATACGGCGGGATATTATCCTCCCTGCACTACCCCCGATGAATCCCTTAGGGCCATCAGTTTAAGGTTTATAACTTTGTGCCTAGAAATTACAAATTCAGTCACTAGACACATCAAACATTGAGCACATAAGGCGGTCTCCATTATCTGTTATTTCTTTCTCTTTTCCCTTTGGTTATCTCATTCCTATCTCTGGTTCCCTTTTTTGTTTCTTCCACCTTCTTCCTGTTGTTTTACATTATTGTTGGATTTACACAGTTTGTTTAGGTACCAGGTCTGTCATACCATGGTGATTGTTCCCATTTGACATTATTGTAGATGGTACTATGTGATATTCTTTGTTGAAACAAATTGAACATATAATAAGTTTCCTCCTTTTTGTGTGTTGTGACTTGAGGAGGTTTTTTCAAGTGACATTTATTAGGATGGTTTGTGATGTCAGTAAAACCACCGTGACTATCTTAATCGTGCAGGTGGATATGTGACATTTTACGAACTTGTTTTTTATTGAATTATTTTGCTTCTCAAAACCAGCCTTGTATTTTTGTTGTTCCTGTGAAGTAATCTAACGTAATACCTAACTTAGATTGTTTCTGTTGGTGCACTTGGTTTTTAAATCCATGCCACTGCTTTACAACTGCTTTATCAAAAAAGCACACAAAAAATCTTCAAAAGCGATCCTAACAGATAATGAAATATGGTTTGAAGGGCTAATTTGCGCAATGCTAGGAGAAAGAAAATGTTAATTCTCTTCTCTCCAGAGACGGAATTCCTGCTTGTAATAAATGTAATTCAGACATAACCACAGTCTTTCCTGGGGGATGTTTAAATCAAAGTTGATATTTTTGTGAACTGTTTTTCACAATTGAAATCTAATCAGTCATCAGTTTCCTGGCAAAGCCAGAGCACATTCTGAGGGGGTGAACTGGCTCTTGCAACAGAGAAATTTGGATTGGATTCAACGGGAGATGCAACCGTCATTGTCCATGTCTGTTGTGGCTGTTTAACCCTCGGAGATGTGACATTTTCCTTGATACGAGAGTGACCTTTTCTTAAAGTCAAAACAATAGGACAGCCAATAACTTTTTTAAACCTCTGCATTCTTGTCATAGTCTGAAAACTGAAACAATCATATTAAATGTCATATACAGAATTTTCCCATACATATCATAAACCTTGTGCCCTCTGTAGTATTATTTCACCTCAGCATTCTTGCTCGAGAAAGTCTAGGGTTGGTGGTTCAGTGAGAATGTAAGGTCAAATCCTGGTTGTCCTAGTTAACTAAGAACCCAGAAAACTACTTGTGGGTAATATTGTTTATTTATTTGGCATAGCCACAATATCTGTAGTCTTATTCAAAAGATAAAAAACACCTTTCGTGTTTAATCACTTTTTTGATCTGCCAAGTGGTTAGAGTGACTATGTGCCAAGATCTTTTAAGAATGATGCTTCTCTTTACCTAGTTTTAGTATGTTTGCTTTGTGTTTTTATTATTGAACATTTTTTTCCACACTTATGAAAATTAACTGAACATGTACATTGAACTGAATGTGCTTTAGGTTATAATACAATACCAGTTATCTGGTTTCAGTCATTCAAAAGAAAGGATATTCTTTGATTTAAAGCTATAGTGTACTGGCTTTATAAAGATAATTTTGTATTTCATGTAGCTGTTGTATAACTGGTTTCTTCACAAATTATACACACCAAAAAGTTTTCATACCTATTTGTGTTCGCCAATAGAGAACAGAAAGTGATTTGAGGGGTTTGGCGTGTTGCCTGGATGGGTTCAGTCTCATGTCACGTTACGGATTTTGTGTGTCTGTACTTGTGCAGGATTGCCAGTGATGCAGGTGAAGATAGACATCTCCCGACAGCAGGTGGAGAAGATTTTCGGGCTGGAGGACTTCTGGTGTCAGTGTGTGGCGTGGAGCACCTCAGGAACACAAAAAAGCCAGAAGGCTTATGTTCGCATTGCCTGTAAGTGCCACACATTTCCCAATTAAATATTTTCCATTCTTGGGACCAGGGAGCTATTTTGTTAACATAACATTATTATTTTCCTCAACAAATAATGTTAATAATATGCTGAAATGTAAAGTACTAATGAAATTTCATAATGTATTATAATGAAAAGAACTTGGGATTTGTACCTTTGATTTAGAATTTTTCCATTTTTAACATTTCAATTTTAGATCGCACAAAACACTGCCTTATTTAAAGATGTACAGCTAAGTTGCTTATTTAAATCTGTGTATCGTGCAACATACCACAAGGTGTCAATTAAAATGTTTTTTACCTACTAATATCTAATGATAAAACCCCACAATACATTGACTCCTATTTATTATAAGCGCAATGTGAGAGTGTTTGATTGAAAAATAATGTAACAGAACATCAATTGACTATTGATGTGCGTTTCACTCCTGACTAAATGCGTTCATCTCACAGCATTGCTTTTTCAAATCCAAGGACTCATTCCCGCTAGTCCGTTTGTACTTACAAGCTGTTTGCCTGGACCCTTTTTCAAGCATGTCTTTTCTAAGATGGAAGTATTAAGTTATTTATGAAAAGCAAGGGGTTAAAAGACAGGCTCAAACATGTTTAGACACTGAAAAAAAAAATGAGGCACTCAGGTTAATCCTATTACTACTGTACATCAATTAAGGGTTCAGTTATATAACTGGGAGCTCTGTTGTAGTGTAGAGCAGCAGGACCAAGCAAATAGAACTTAAAAATAAAACAGCTAATTAATTAAAAGTTATCACTATAAATGCATAAGCTGTTTCCATTTCCCTCTGGTGGATCCAAGATCTCCATTAGTAGGTGTCAAGCTTGCCTTAAGGAAAAGCGTGAACTTTAAGAGGTGTGTGATTTGTGACTGTGATATGAACGCTATAAAATGTGTAGAAAAAAGGAGGAAGCCTGCTCTTATCCTTTCCTTTATGTCTTCTCTGAGCTCATTTCAGTATGACCAAAGATCTTGCTCCATTACTGCAGCTGTATCATGTGTTGTTCCCTGAGATTTTTTCTTTCAATAGCCATTCTCAACCGGGAGGTGCATCAAGTGTTGATCAAAACGCATTTCAGACTAATGAAGATGGTAGAGTGTGTGCATATACTCTAACAATCAAGGTTAAAAGGGGGGATATTTAAATAGATCATTCCTATGTGGTCTAGTGGTCAGGATTCCTGGTTTTCAAGAAGGCGGCCTGGGTTTATTTCCTGGGGTGCGAATACTGAGTTTGGAGATCTGATCAAGTATTCAACATCCCTCAGACGCATTGAGAGAGTTCACTAGGTGGACCTCTTCAAAATCAAAAGCAAACCCCGACCCAGAGGACACAACTGGAAAGTACGTAAAAGATGTGGAAGTGCATTTAAAACTGAAAAGCAGGAGGCACCTCTTTGTCTGTCTCTGTATTCTCTAAATATCATTAACAATAATATAAGTTTTTGTTTAAACTGTTCAATTTAGATGTTATTTCTCTTTGGTTCTGCCACGCTTCACTACTATAGCGGTCTATGCTGATGAGAGTTCTTTTGAAAGTGGGAAAAAAAATGTATGTCAGCTTCTGGCATCATTAAACTCCTTAAATCTCCTCTTTATTGTGGTACTGAAGTGCCAAGGTCAGAGCTGTTTAAAACAAAATAATGCAATCTCTACTACAAAGAAGGGTCTATCTGGAGTTATTCTCTCTTTCCGAAAGCAGCAGCCTTTGTGTCACACTCAGAGTGTCCCCCTCACCTCTAAGGACCTCGCTTTTGAAAGTATCTTCAGGGAAGGCTAGTTCTGAATGCATCTGATGAAAAAACATATCAGCTTGATCAGCATCCGTGTTCTGTTGCACTCTGTGGATGAACGTAAAGAATTGAGAGAGCAGTTATTCATTAATCTGAAGTATTGTAGGTGCTGTGGTCGTGTGTTTCGCAGGTTTTCAGGTGAATGCCATGAAAGCACTTTATTTAGTCCAGCATTGGTTTGTCTTGTCAATTGATTTTCAATATTAGCTTGTTATTTCCATGATTTAATTGAATATGTAATCATTGTTCTCTTGCTTGACATGGGGTTCATGCGACATTTATTCCTGACACATGCATCAAACTTGGTTGAAAAAGGTCCTGTGTGCAGTGAAGACACTCTCTTACTCAGTTCCAGCACCCACATTCCAGAACATACCAACTATGTCTTAAAGGGGAACTGCAACTATTTTTGTATTTCAGGGTTAGAAAAACTTATTAAATCAGCATTAATGAGTGAATTTCAAACCACAATGAAAGTCAAATGTACACAGCATCTTGTAAAACCTCCAATTTACATCACAAAATAGCTGAAATGTCTAGGTATGCGCAGCGCCATATTCTGCAATTCAGAACAAGCCAACAAAATGTCCGATGATGTGGCAGCCTTATTACATTGTAAACACCCAGGCTTGTGAATACAGTGCATCTCTTTTAATCCAATACAAATGTTGATCAGGATTTTAAGATGGTTATGCCGGCAAATACAACCTATTTGGTAACTCTGCATGCAGATCACGTTGGTATTTTTCTGCGGCTTTTGCGATTTTGTGCTTAATTCAAAATTTGTAAAACTTTTCTATCATTTATTTTGTTACCGGGATTCAATGACTGGTCTGAGAAATTGGGGCTGCAGTTCTCCTTTAACATAGCACATTGCGATATAGAGGTTTCATTTCTTAACATTTCACATTTGCATTATTTTTTAATCAGAATGAAAAGAAAAAAATGACTATATTTAATAGTATTGGCACAAATGTTGACAGATATTATAGCAGATGTTAGAAGCACTTAAGGCAAGCAAGATCTCCACAGCCTGATGGTATTCTACCCAAGAAACAAGAGATGTTGTTCATAGGCTGTGAGCAAAACTCTTCTAAGAGTCATTGAGACAGGCATAATTTCCTTTGATGGGATAAGGTCTAATTAAGTACTTCCGTAAAAAGCACAATATGATTAGATCAATGTAAGATTGTGGAGATAATTATTACTAAAAGTGATCATCTGTGTCTCAAAAGGATTTAATATAATTAGTAAAGTACTGCAGATATCTGTATTAAAACAACTTCTCTTCCTACACACCTCTTTTTGTGTGGCCAATCTGACATATTAGTAATCTAGTTGTGTCAGAACAATATACAGTACCTACTTAGAGGGTAAGCAAACACTACTTAAGCAGCAAAGGAAATTCATAAACATTGGGCAAATATTTAGTAGATAACGTTTAATGCAGTGTATACAGATATACAGTATAAGCTAGATATTCATGAGGACGAGTCCTTAAAATATTTTAAAATCCTGTGCTGGTCCTGAAGAATGCTATTCCAATTTGTCTTTTAGGTCACCCTTAATTGCCTGGTTTATAAAGATTAGGATCTCTTGTTCAGTTCTTGATCAATTAAGCAAGTAATTTGTTCAATTAAGGGAAATCTTGTCCTTTAAGGCTGAAGGGTCTTCAGGTTTTTGTTCCAAATGATCTCTAAATGACTTAGTTTTACACATCACCTGTTCAACCGATCACACTTAAGTGGTTCTAGGTCTTTAGAAATTGATGATTTAATGATACCTATAAAACCGGCTGCATACAATAGGTTCTCTCTAGGAGCAGAGATGGTGACTCTGTCTCTATGTAATGTGAGGAAACAGTGATTGGAGGAAATAATGTTAGGATATATAGTTTAAATTGTAACAATTCACTAGTAATACCTTATTTATACTATTGTGCACAATTTTTGTCACCGTGTTACAAAAAGGTAATGTAAATGCTTTTCTGGAATCTGCCCAGAGAAATTCCACCAGATTAATTCCAGGATGTAACAGAATGTGCTACACTGAGAGGCAAAACATTTTAATACCAAGGGTTGTGGGAGTGTGGAACAAGCTACTGAGCCATGTTATTGAAGCTGGAACCCTTCTTCTTTCAAGTAATAGCTGTGTGCAATCCCTGGATATCTTAGCTATAAGTTGTAAACTCTCACATGTTCTTGTGCTCAATACAGAAACAGGTTTGGAACAGATTATGACCTTGATTCAGTCATGAAGCCTCTGTGAGGACGCTAAAAGATATAACCCAAACTCTCAACAAGTTCATTATAGATAATATTTTAAACAAGTATTTGTGTGTTTGTGTCCTGCATTCATTAATTCAGGTTTAAAAGGAAAAAAAAATCCACTGCATTCGTGTGTGCTCTTGTCCTTCTTTTTTTCAATGTCATGGATGTAGGAAGAAAGCATTCATTTCTCCAAAATGAGAAATAAGATCCATGAGCCTTCTAGGGCCATTATGTCTTACCTTCCTTCCAGCAATGTTATATCAACTTTAATTAAGTTAAATGTCAAAGATCACTCAATTCTCCTCAACGTTTTCGTAATCATTATTGTTCCAGACTGACCCAACATCTGATTTAGGGAATAAATTACTAAAAGCAGTCTCCTTATTGACTGTGAGGATCACATAAGCACATGATTGACATTTGGTGCCCACTTTATCTGGAATGCACTTGGAGAAACAAATCTATTGTTTGTAATTAAGGTCATGCTCACCGGCAACACAAGAAGACAGCAGCTCTTTGGGTATATATTGGTAGATGGAAGCAAAATAAGCAAAGGAAACTAATGTTATTGATGTATGAAGCCACTAGTTCAGCCCCTTTTATGTCTTGCAGTCTAAGGTAAAAATATATGAGGCTTTTGTCAATAAATTAATTCAGTAATGTGTTAGATTTGCTTTGGATAATTGCTCTTGCTTCCTAATTTATTACCAAGTGACTTGACACCACAAATCAAGTTTACAAGTTGTGGTTTAAATGCAGTTTGGGAGAGTGTTTTCTTTCCTATTTGGAAAAAGTAGCTATTTTCATAAGTGATTTATTTCAAAGAGTACTGAGTTTGTACTGAGTACTGAGTAAAGAGTGAACAACAGTATATAGTCTGTGAATAATACAGTATTATTTTCAGAATTCTCTGGCATTCATGACAGCGACAAATCTGCAACCTCTTATTGGGTGTTTGCTGTTCAGAAATGAAGTGCGCATATTGATCATTAGTAGTGAAATAAAGTCGCACACAATCACATTTACAAACTATCTTTGGTTAGAACATCAAGGTTTTTTTTCCTCAGGTAATCTTAAGCCTTGGTGTGGAGAGAATTAAAGATCATAGAACAGCCCATCCAGACCCTGGGGCATCTAATTCTAAATGAGCTGAGCAGTATGGAAATTCTGCAGTGGAGGGTGTGATAGGGACTCCTTTCTCCCAAAATGTTGACAAAGGCCTGTGAGCAAAGCGCAGGGTTTTGACAGCGAGGAGCAAAGCTGCCTTAAGCCATGTGCTCATGTGAGACAACCACCAAGTGACATCCACACTAGGATTATTACTTGCAAAAAAAAAACACAGTCCCAACCAGGACAGGGGACAAGACACAACACAGGGAGAAAAGATTAATCTGCCTGCCTTCCCTTGAATTTACCAGGTTTACAAAAAACTCAAGAAGCATAATACTGCTTAACAACAAAATATCAAATGCAAATATCAACAGGTTTTGTTTTCACCTCCTCTATCGCTTTTGAAAAATCTGAGATCGGTGTTCCAGTTTCCAAATGGTTGGTAACCATGGAACCTTCATTTTTTGTATGTCTGCTGCTGAGAGTTACCAGCCTGGCTCTGAACATTCGCCAAATGTCACATGTGCTCTGGCCTGAAGGAAAAGGCACAGACAGCTCAGGCTGTTGATGAGTGTCTGATTTGTTTTTGGACGCAGATCTGAGGAAGAATTTCGAAAAGGAGCCGTTGGGTAAGGAAGTGGCGTTGGACCAGGAGGTGATTCTGCACTGCCAGCCCCCCGAGGGGATACCGCCTGCAGAGGTAAGATGGACCTCCGTATTTCCGCTGAAACCAAGATGCAAAGTTCGTTGATTCAGTTAGTTGTTTAATTCAGCTGATTGGATCACTTGTTCGCTTTTTAACACCGATGATTTTAGAGTCCAGAAATTTCCATTTTAAAAATAAAGATCTGCAGTAGTCCATGTCATGAATTTCATGAAAATATGGGGTTGCCTCTGAGTTTCAAGAATCTGTTTCAGTTCCTAATTTAGTGTCTCACTCCAGACTCAGACCAACTGTTTCACTTACATTTATTGCAGTTCTAAACCACCAAAATGGACAAGACTGACAGTACAAAGCCCCCTCTCAGATGACCTGGGTTTTCAGACTTTATTTGAAAGCAATTTTGTACATGCCTTTTGATGCATTTTTTGTTCTATGTTTTTAATGAGGTGCCTCAAATAGCTGTCTTGAGCTGAAAGACTGATTCTTGTTTATCTTTCAATTGATTCTAGACATCTAATTCACATCTTGTGAAACTTCAGCTTAATAGAAAAGAGAAATGCATTCTCTGATACCATAAAATAAAACACTTGCAATTTGTTGTGCTCCTTGCTGTTGTGGAAAGACAGATGCATGTCTTAAAGGCAAACGAGCTGGGTGTCTCTTAATTTTTAGATCAAATTGGTCTCAGTTTTCTATCGGCCATCAAAAGCAATCTTCCATGTTTTTAGGTGGAATGGCTGAAGAACGAGGACTTGATCGATCCTGTTAGTGACACCAACTATTATATCACAATTGACCACAGTCTCATCATCAAGCAAGCCCGCTTAGCAGACACAGCCAACTACACGTGTGTAGCGAAGAATATAGTGGCCAGGCGGAAGAGTTCATCAGCCACAGTCATTGTCTATGGTAAGTGCCTTATTTACCCTTTCTCATCCATTCATTGTCCTGACTACAGATCGCCAAGTGTGAGGTACTGTATGACTAACAATGCAAACAAACCAGAGCCTTTGGTAATAGTTAATAGCATTGGGATTGAAGAGCTTATTGATTGCAGTTTCCACTTGGCATAAATAACACGAAAAAAGTAACAATCCAACATTTAAGTTTGCACTTGAGTCTTATCATTTTCTGTCAGATTTTCAAGGAAGTCCATAATGATGTAGAATGACGAGCTTTTTAACCTTTGCAAAAATGCAGAAAGTATACTTAATTATTTTCAGTGTGATGCTAGGCTAGGGAAAGAACTAGTACACTTTAATAGAATTGATTTTGTTTGGTACATAAAATCTTCAGTTGATAATTACAAAGGAGAAGGACATCTTGAACAAGAAAGATTTCCACCTTGGAGGTACGATGTGTTTGTGTGCTTTTCCAGGTTGCCATGCAGTCTACAAAAGGGATGAATTTGCTAGTAAATGAAGAGCTTTTAAAACCAATCTGCTGAAGGCATTACCTAAAGGGTTTATTTTTAGTTTTTATTTAAAACGAAATATTGATTTATTACTTTATGTGCATAGCAGATGTTAATTAACAAACCAAAGGGTTCTTTTGAAAATGCAAGAAAAAGCAATTTAGTGATTTATTGGTATAGTGTTCACAACACATTTTAGAGAAAGTACAAAAATATTTTGACATCTACAGGCACACTTTTTTGGTGTTTTTTTGTTGTTGTTTTTCTGTTTGCTTTTTATATTGATAACAGCCCTCACTGCAGCAAAGACAGAAATGTTGAAATGTTGCAATTACAGTCTGACAGCAAAACAATCAGTAACCATGGCAACAATAAGGCCCTTCAAACTCCAATTTTTTTACTGAGAAGAAAGGGGAAAAAAATAGACAGGCAGAATTTTTTAAAAAATAATCTCAGGATGTAATATTTAAACTGTTGATTAGATCTGGTTTTTGATGGACAGATGACAGATCTGAGAAACATGGTCATTTTCTTCTATTTCACCTTTTAGAAATAATGATATTATGCTGTACAGCTCAAATCCCTTGTTTGAGAGAAAACACTTTATTTTATATCTGTCGTTGCCTCTGTTGTGCTGGCTTATCACTTTGAAGAAGGCATCGTTCACTTATCAAGGCTGTGATTCTGAAAACTGCATGAAGGGATAAATGATTCATTACTAGGTTAAAATTGCGGCCTATTAATACAGATGGCTCAGAATGGGTCATCACTCTCACTCCCCTTGTATTCATTACATTTTTGAATTTATATTATTTATCACTTGAAATTGATTTATTTACCAAATTCATTTTAAAGTCAGAAAGTGTTTCGTTATGCCTGAACTGCAGGTGCTTGCTTGTCAAAGCCTGGAGCAAAAAAAATTGAGTATTTTTACTAGGTCCTGTAAAAAGTGGCAGTAAGCAGCAATAAGAGGTATTCAGAGGTGAAGTGGCAAAGCGATTTGCTTCACCAAGGTGGCCAATCAATTCAGAAGCAGAGGTAAGGAAATTATTCAACAAGACCGTGGGGAGATTAATGGGGGAATTAGGGAAGAATACTTGGAAAAATATGTAAACCTGACTACCAAATGCACCTCAGGCCTGTCTAATCAACCTAATTCTTGAGTGGAAAGAGCTTGAGGGGAAATTCTTCCTTGGAGGATTTTAATTTTTCTTTTTAATTTTCTAATGACTGAGTCTTAGTAATTGAACACTCCACATTTGATTGGGTGGCACAGGGCTAGCATAACAGGGAAAGACATTGTAGCATCTGATCTGCCAGTTGTTAAAGGAGAATAGAAATATTTAATTTAAAAAATCATAACTGCTGGCATTTATGTCATTATATGGCAATATGATGCTATACATGAATTCTCCAGGGCAAAACCAGATTTGCTTTTACCGTGCTTCAAAGTCATATCTTGCCAAATGTATGTTGCTTGAGCTATTTTGCTGCAGTTTTCATAAAGCTTTTTAATCTTTAGCCTTGTCTAACTTGTTTACTTCGGCTGATGTCAGTATAATTCTGATTACACTGGAAACAGCTATAATGTTCAAATGTACTTTAAACCCTGTGACCTGTTACCTACATTGGATTTAACGTGTCCCTACCAGTCACATTCCTTCCGTTCATCACATCTCCTTCCTGTATGTCATCTATAACGACACTCAATCTTCTGTCAGACCACGGAAAAGCTTTGGAATCGACATTGATTGCATTTCATTTGTCCTTTTAATGTTTGATTTACTTTTATAAAGTAAATGTTGTCATCACATCCACAAATTAATAAAAGTCAGAAATTAACTTCCACGCCACCCTTTGTCATTGACATGATGCAGACAAGCTTCTCCCAGAAGAGCATTTGTATTTAACAGTTACGATGAGTCATAAGTGAAGGGCTGTGGTCTCTGCACTTCAAAACCAATAAGGAAACCTACTGAAGTAAAACTGGGGTTCAAGTCTTCATTTATGAATGAAAAAAGGATTAAAAGAGGATAATATTCTAATTTACTCATAATTCAAAATGTTGAAGTTTGTGGGGAGAGGAATCCTGTTTTTGTGTTTTTATGGCATGTAGACCGGCCTGGTAATTTAATTACATGAATATACTTGGGAAATAAATCCCAAAGACCAGCAATTTCATTTTCATGACTTTGATTAAACATAATTTGAGTTTAAATTCTTTGTCTTCAAGACATTGATTTTTTTTTCTTTCTTTTTTTCTGCGGCGATGTGCTTCTCCTGAGCAATGGTACTACAAGCCTTTAATCACACAGTGGGATTTACAAATAATATATATATATATTTGTCATCAGGATTCCCTAAGCAGTAGCAGTTGACTTCATCCGTTTGAGCATATGACCGTATGACCTCAATCAACAGTGGTCATGTTGTTCACAACCATATGAGAGCTTTCAGCTTCTGGGTGGGATTAAGTCAGTCATGGTGTTCTTGACCCTGTGAGAGCTTTGGAGGGCTGGGTGGGCTTGAGTTGTACAAACTACACACTGAAAACTGTAAAAGTTACAGTTTACTGAACATGTGTTCATTAGTTGAAGTTGTCTTTAAAACATTATTTCTTAGAACCAGCATACAAAGACAAAGATAAACACTGGAGACCTTTTGTTCATGTAAAATCGCAACAGCAGAAAGTAAATGCCTTTTCATTTGATCTCTGCGCAGAGTTGTTTGGATGTGGTTTTCTCCTGTTTGCCTTGAAGAGAGAGACGAATGAGAATGTGTATCAATTGAGGGATGTGACACTGGGTTTAGTCGCTTAATCAGATTTGGAAGTGAGAATTGTGAGGGTCCCTAAATCCTCACAGAGCAGGGCGTGGAGATGGGGCAGGGCACTCTTGCTGGCAGTGATTTCTCACCTTTGACATGAACAGGATTTGTAGTCTCAGCTTACTGTACATTTTAAAAGAACCGAGTGAAAAGATCATTCCCAAACAATGCCAATGTGAAATGCTGAAACGCCAAGAGAAAGACTGTAACTGTACATCACTGGTGTTATTTAAGATCATTTTAAAATGCATGATTATAATAATTAATGAGGTGTTGACTTGGTAGCACTTAAATGTGTAAATCTTGGATTTGAGGCATCGGAGGAGCTAGTTTCCATTGCTGGGTGACTGTGACAGTACAGCTGCTCCAATATCCCCCCTGAACTCGTCCCAACATGAGACACCTTGAGACACCTCCCCGTGGTCGTGACTGAACCTCGGCGCCTGTTTATTTCTCATTAGTGGCTTATTTTGTAATGTGCTCAGAGGAGAGAAAATCTAGTTCCCGTTTGACCCACCAAAAAAAAAAAAAAGAAAAAGAGACGATTGGAGATGAACTTTGGGAAATGTTAGACGCTCAACCCCCCCCACCCCAAAAAAATAGATGCCCATTTTACTGAACTTGAAAATAGAAGAAACTGTAGAGAAGAGGGCAATACAAATAGAAAAGGGCTCTGCCATTCTTGAGTCACTGATTTTGTCCCAATCATTTTAGTTTTAAAGTGTCTTAAAGTGTGCTGAGCTCTTTTGACCATAGCACTCCATAGGTCGTACACTGGGGCTGCTGTTGAGTGTAGTGTGCTTGACACCTGAGTGACCTCATTGTCAAGAGACGCACCCCAGCACTGCCCTTGTCCATTCTGCGCACGTCGGGTAAACCTGGCTGCTCTGTTCATTTCCCCCCGTGGTCAGTCAACGGCGGCTGGTCCACGTGGACAGGGTGGTCGGCCTGCAGCGCCACCTGTGGCCGGGGCTGGCAGAAGAGGAGCCGGAGCTGCACCAACCCCACCCCCCTGAACGGAGGGACCTTCTGCGAGGGGCAGAACGTCCAGAAAAGCGCCTGCACTACCACATGTCCAGGTAACACTCAGCACCCAGCAGGTCCCTAGCAAAGAGAGCTGGTGGATTCAATCAGTGCTGACAGGCAGTTGTATGAAAGCCATGTGAGTCTTAAGCATGCATTATGCCCACTTCTTATTTCAAAGGGACTTGTCGTTCTTCATTCTGGGCATACTTACAGAGGAAAAGACTATCTGTTTTTTTCAAAGAGGCAGCATGTGTGGGCAAGCAAGTAAAGGTATTTTTGCTGTAAAGACCTTTTGAACAGACATGCTTGTTTCTATACAAAAGGCACCATTTCCACCCTGAGTTTTTCTTTAAATCCACAATAATGCCCATTCTTAAGAGGAGGCCCTGTCCCCATGTTAAGATTTTGAGGACAATACGATTTTCTGGATTGTAGACTCTTTTTGTTGCGCCACTTGAATTAAAATAAATGTTTCTCTTTGGCCAACAGCTGACTTTTCCATATTTTTTACCTCATTTGCAAGTACCATGAACAAGTACCGTCAGACAGCTGTCTGACATCTTTTGGTTCTGTACAGGAAACATAAAGGCATTAAAATTTAAAACCAAAGGAAGCATCAGGTTAGCATATTAGGCATCGTTATCTTGGACTACAACTGTCCCTTGTCAGCTTAGAGTGCTGTACAGTATGTCTCGGTCTTTTTGGTTAGTATTGATTTCTTGTAGTTTTTCATGTAAATAAGACAGCTCTGTTTGTGTCCTGATATAAACCTGTCATGAAAACCTGCACAGCTATTAGATTTGGGCCGCTCAATGACAATAAAGTTGCAAAGGTTTTCTGCATAAGACATTGCAGTTTCTATTGTACTAGCAATAGCATAGGCCTGTGTTGAGTAATTATACAGAGGATATTGAGAGTTTTGTTCATCACAATCATAGAGCTGGTCCTTTCTCACATTGCAAAGGAGAAACCACATATATAAGATAAATATACTCTTTGTACTGCAGTGATAACACACTTTAGACAACCCTTATGCAAAAGGCCTTAAAATTTTAATGCACCAAAGCAGTGATAGAAAATAAGGTTAAACATAACAAACACTAACTGAGAACACTTTGGAGAACAGCTAGTATAATGAATTTCAGAACACCACATATTGAAAAGAGCACCACATATGGCACAGTTCTGTATGGTAAACAAATAGTCTTACATTGCTGGAACAGAAACTGAGAGAAGAGGGTTTTGAGAATACAGAGGCCATTTAACATACACGTAAAAAGTAGCCCATCTTTTAATGCAGCATGCGTCTAGACCGTACCCTGGATTGGAAAAGGTATATCCACCTTCATTTCCTTTCTGAAAGAAGCCACAGTAATGAATGCTGTACAGGTGCTCGTGTTTGTAAAAACTTCCTTATAGACTCCCTTTTCGGTATAGATATCTGTCTCCATCCTGAAACTGAGTTTCTGAACTGGAAGACCCCTCGATTCAGAAGGAACAGCCTCGCTGCACACCCAATCAAGAAAGGCACTTTGCCACTGTTGTTTGTTCATCAGAGAAAACTGCAACTCCAGGAAAACTGACCCTCCCCCATTTGTCATTGCACTCAGACATGGCCTGACAGCAGTAGCGCCTAAAAATTACATCTGAGACTTCTTCCAGCTATCCCGATTTATCAAAACACTGTTCCTCCACCACAGGGGCATAAATCATCATTTATACACTGGGGCTTGGGAGCAGAACAGGGATCAGTTTCAAAAAAGCAAAACAGAAGAAAAAAACACAAGAATCAGCCTTATCAAGGTAAAAGCACACTCTGGAGAAGACATTTTTTTCCTTTTATGTTCTTTCATTTCATTGACTTTTCAGCAGCACACTTTGCCATATGGTAAATGGCTAGAAGTTAAGTTACTGCTTAAAAACAATCAGAAATGCTTGAGTCTTGAAGTCATTTACATTATACCTATGATGGCGCTATAATGTACTACTAAGTGCTTTTGTTTTTGCAGATATTAAACCAATTTCAGCATGGTTATAAAATAGCTGTACAGTGCAGATATCCATGTTCAATCAGTTTATGTCAAACATATATTCCTTCCTTACATTATTATACTGACGTGATCATTAAAATTTGTCCCCTATTTGACATAATGGAGTTTGACTTATTTGTTATTTTTTAAGTGCTTATTTATTAAGTTGACAAGAGTTAAGTGCTTGCTCACAAGGCTTTAAAATTTCATAATAAACCAGATATTAACATCCATTTATGTATTAATAAAGTGTTTGCATATGAAAATCAGATCCTTTATATTAAACACATATTAGCAGAAATCCTTTGATACCAAGTTATTGACACTATTAAACGGTTTTATTATATTGTAGGTTATAAATATTTTATATAAATGGAATGTATGGCCCATGATCTGATAAATATTAATTGTAGTACCAGTAACTGTTCATTGTTAAGATAATCTTAAAAGATACCTTTCACAGTATAGTTGTTTAATTAGGGCAACTAACTTTATAAGAACCCTGTATGAGTGGATTGCTAAGATCTGCACATTATTAATATGAGGTTGTGGTCAGATATGCTGAAAAAAGAAAGTTCAGTTTCTTAGAAGGATCAAGTTGTGCTCTTCTGCATCATAAGCCATCTTCACAGTAGAACATCATCATTTTTATTTGTAAAACCCATTCCAGGCGGCTTGGCACGTAAAACATTTAAAAATGATTTAAATTTCTCACCTATTAGTTGGAGGTGCTTAGGTGAATATGATAATGCACACTCATGGCCACTTACTTTGTTTTTAGAGCGCATTATGAAATATTACTGATGAATACCTTGAAAAGCTCACAGGAAGTCAAATGAATTAATGATGTTGAAAAATCATACATCTACCTGTACCGTGTTTGTATCCCATCTCCAGTGTGTTCCTTTATTATATTATAAGTATTTCGGAGCAGTGCTTTACGTTTTGGAGAAGTGCCAAATGTTCCTTAAAATAAAATAATCCATGCTATTTCCACTTCTCTCTCTCTTTTTAATAAGGAAAGTAAAACCTAATTGTAACTAAGTACGTATTAATACAATTATACAGGAGTAGTTGTCAGATAAGTCCAAATAATGAAATAAACTCCACATACTGTATATTGTAAGACTTAAAATAGCATACCAAAGTAGAATTCTGAGATTAGGACTTCATTATATTGTTTCCTACTAGTTGACTATTGCAGGAATCGAATTTCAGTTGCTCTTGGCCTGTGGCTTTTGTTTCTCTTTTCTCTGACATTTTTCCACATTTATAATATTTGAATGAGACTCACTCAGCCAAAGGATAATTGTCTCTCAGGAGTGCTGGTTACTGACTGTGTGTTAGATGTTACTGATGCTTGTGAAGCATTCCCTTTCAAGATGTAAAACTGCAGTACAGTGAGGGAGAAGTGATTTTAGCATGTCAGACTAATCAGAATGTTTATAGTGAGAAAGCATTTGAAATTACTGTCAATTTGGTGCCTCTACAAGTGTATTGGTAATAATAAAAGCTTAAGGATAAATGTCTGAATAAATTATGCATAAAGAAACAACCATGGCAGTTGTAGACCTAAAGCCAGTGTTGATGTATTTTACTGTGTATTTTGTGAACCTCATTAAAATATTATTTAAATAGCACAGGATGTGTAGACCAATTTTGAGCAAGGAACTATAGTAGCAGCTTCTGAATCGACTGCCTTTCTGTTCACCATTCAGTTACTGCTCAGGTAAAAAGATACCATTGCCACAGACTGACTTACAGGATAGTTTTTTTTCTTAAGTCCATAAAAAAGACGCATTGCCATCATGATGAGTACCAGCTGGGAAAAAGTAAGATGTCAAACTTATGATGACCATAGCATGCCTAGGCCTGGATTAAAGGCCTGCAAGTGATGCCATAGAGGGTAATTGTATTCCACTAGGCCATCTGTTTGCGGAGTTCGGTGATGATGGATGTTGGTTTTTATGGATAAGCAGGGAGGGTAGGCTGGAAAAGGCTCTTGCCGGAGTTTCTGCTGCAAAAAGGGGGTTGTAAACAGTTGCAGCACATTTTCTCTTCTAAAATGAATCATGCACTGCTTAAAGCGCTGTCCAGCAGAGTGAAGAGAGAGGCTAATGGGACAACCATTAGAGAAAACAAAACAAGCAAAGCCTTCACCCAGCTGAAAGTTCTGTCTGTCAGCAGCACTTGCAACAAAGGTTCAGTGCAGTTTGATTCTCCAAGAGGATTCTAGTGCTGTCAACTGTACACAAAGCAAATGCAATGGCAACAATAAAAAGATTTCATGCTTTATCTTAAGACTGGATAAAGCCTTGAATGCCTTTATTGCTGGCAGTACAAGGAGAAGCAGTGGTTGAAGAAAAAAAAAGCGAGTTACCTTTCTCGTTTGCTCACAAACTCCAGTTAACCATTACTGACTTTATTTTCCAGAGGCTGGTAAGCTTTGTTTTCTTCACTGGAAACGTATCCTTGGGTAATTGATGAAAGTATTGAACACTAGTGCATGAGACCATAAAAGAGAGGAGCAGTTAAAAAAAAACAGAAAATCTAATCTGTGCCGTTGTCCATCTCTAATGTTCCCAAGAGCAAGTTGAATGGCTGATTGAGTGGATATGGAAATAAAAAAATGCTGCTTATTTTATCAGTTGCCTGTGCCCTGTCATGAAATACCTACAGGCACAATGTTTGATAATTAGGGTTACACGCCCTGAAGCTTCTGAATTTGTCTCCCAGGATTTTTTTTATCAAGCACACACACACAGCAGAGATTGTGCATGCTCGGCAGGCTGCCCTAAATAAATATCATCTAAACAAATTAACTTGTCACAAAATGAACCACGGCAACCGGCAGAAAAACACATCGCACACTGGCTATTTTTTCTCCTCTGCCTCCTCTCCGTCTCTGCCTGGAAATTGCAACCACAGGCAAATGGCTTGTCCCAATCTGTCACTAGACCGGGGCCGCTTGTGACACAGGAGAATCCCTCGACAATTCAGATTTATGAGAACACCGTCCTGTTAACCAACTAGCATTCATCATCATTTATGCAAAAAAAGAAAGAAAAATAGCTTGAGTTTCATAGAGTATAGTCTATGAAATTCAGTCCGCAGGCACACTTTTTGAGCACGTTTTGTGTATTAGGATGTTGCTCCTGTTTTATTTCCCTTCACCGCTACCACCACAATGCCTTTCTAATTTTTCTTTAAAGTAAGATACCGTACTCCCTGTAGACTACTGCCATTTTTTGTCGATTGCTCTTTAAAAAAAAAACTTCTTGCTCAAGCAGTGAAAAAGCAGACAGTTGAATGACTCCTGCGTGTCGTGATTTGAGCATTTCGTTTTGTCCCGAGTCGTGGCGAGTTTGGGCTGTAACATGGTCATGGATTGTGAGGAAGTATTTCTGACAAAAGTCAACTTGTTAGTAGATCGTGTTTTGGTATTTTATGGAGGAAGATTTTGTCACAGCATTCAAGACCAAAACTGTCTTAATGTATGCATTTCATCACTCATCAAACACAGTGGAAAGAATGTGGTAGGTGTTTCATTGTAAATTAGTTCCAGAAAATGAAATATGATGTTCTGACTATGAGCACTACTTATTAATAACTTCTTCTTAGGGGTTCAACCCTGCTCAGGATTACAGGATTTTATTTGGTCAATAAATGTCCCAAAATCATAACAATCATGAGTACCTCGTTGTCCTTAAATTTCCAAATTGCTTAAATTAGTGTGGCAACAAAGGTATCTCTTGCTAATGTACAGGAATTCTGTGATTCTGGCTACAATATATGTATATCAATGTACATAATGATACAGTTAGCTACTACATTGGTTATACATGCACTATATGTTTATTTTTCTTAATTAATTAATTCTTTATTTCTTGTACTTGGCGGAAGTTTCTGTATATTTGAGTTTTCTCTCTCATTTTTTTTTATAATAATAAAATTTTATTTTCTGGGTCATCATCAGCATCATTAACATCATTATTTTATTATTTATTTCAGTCCTCTTACTTTAATGCCTTAATACCAGCTTTTTTAGATCAGAAAGTTCTGTTTAGTCTCTAAGCAAAATTCATTTTTATGGTCTGAAGAGAAAGTATGGTGTCTAGAATCATAATGCATTCATTAAGCATTAATTCCTGAGTTATTCAGCTCCATCTCCCAAATGATTGACCACAGTGTTAAGCATCTCTGTCTGAATATGGGTCCACTTAATAGGAAGCCAAACCAATTATCCAATTATTCATGCTCTGTGCAGATACAACTCATTTCAACATAATTTCTACGGAGCCATTTTCTAAATTTTACACTTAAATAAATCTTTATCAGAATCAATTCCATATGTATAGCTTTGGAATGTGTACAATGGAATGATGAAAGGACCCCTCTTTTAGACTTTTTGAAGCTACTATTATTATTAATAATAATAATAAAATATTAATCGCCTCACGTTTTTTCAGTGGATGATATTTTAAACATTTTTCTCCAAGGGGTATTTAATTTTTACATCTAGATGAACATCTATTAAAAATATTTGCCTTCTTCTCCTGTCCCTTTCAATGGTCACAAAGGTGTCTAGTGACTGTCAAAGTACTCCCCAGAGATCTGATATATGAATGTTCTCTCTAAGTAGCTCTGTAACCTCTTCACATTTTTCGCTAAGTCCCTTATCTCCATAGAACTCATTCTGCTTTGGACCACTAATTGTTTATAAGCTCCAATACATTTATATTTAAAAAATGAGGCAGAACACCAAAGCAGTGTTTTCATATCCATGCTTCACACACCTTTGTGTTTTACCTGTGTTTCCCCCAAAAGCTCTAAACCTCACACCCAAGTAACACTTTCCTTTTCTGATGATGTAGGTTACTTAGTGGTTTAAATTCAGTGCATGTATATCCACTAAATATATTAATCAACACTTCGAATGCTCCTGAGTTACAGTGTGCTAGTCAGTTTTAACTGATATGTTTTGCAATTTTGTGTTTCTTCTTCAGTTTTGTGGTATCAACCTGCTGCTACATCTATTGGCCTTACTCCACTTAATCTGCAGTTCTATTCATACATGTTAGGTGAATTTATATCCTTAGCCCTAAGGAAACTTAAAAAATCAATGAGCAGTTTTATGGATTATTAAAAATTCATGATCCTTACTTCTTTAGGGATTTGTCACATTCTTCCTTTAATTGTTTTCTTGTCTTTTCATTCAATTTATCCCTAGTTTTTTTTTTTATTTCCTGCAAACCATCCTCATTTTTACCATTCCTGATGGTCTTTTTTATACAACTAAGATATTTCCTGTTACCAGTATCTTTCATGATAGAAAGAACTGTTTCTGCAGGATGCATTCTTAAATGACTTGATGTGTGAGGCTGCTAATATCAGTCTGTATTTCAAAACCTATATAAGGCTAACAACTCAGAAAACATTATTATACTGTGTGGGGGGCTGAAACACAACATTGGAATAGTATTGCTGCAAAAATACTGTCTCTCAACTGTAGTATGAGGACAAGACCTACTGTACACAGAAAGGGTGACATACAGTACTGTATCCATACCACACAGTACTGGTTATAGGTTAGTAAAACATTAAAAGGGTACCTCTGAATGGTTTTCCATTGCACAGGACATATTAATGGAAAGAGATCAATGCATACCTGAAACCAGGAGGCTTCCATTATTCATTTTACATGAAAAAAATGGTCTTAATCCTTTTTTTTTTACTGTGCAAAAATGAAAAAAAGCATCAGGAATTCACCCAGTAGAAATACTGTGCCAGTTCACCAGTGGATTGTCAGTCATGGGTCTGTGGTTTCACGGTGTTCGTTGTTTTTATCACCAGTGGACGGAGGCTGGACCGAGTGGAGTAAATGGTCAGCCTGTGGAGCGGACTGCACCATGTGGAGAAGCCGGGAGTGCACTCAGCCAGTGCCGGGAACCGGAGGCAAAGACTGCCAAGGCCTAGATCTCCAGTCCCAGAACTGCACCAGTGAGCTGTGCCCACAAAGTGAGTGTTATGCCATCTGACCAATTGTGAAAACAGGATAGTCTTCTGTTGCGCCTCTAGTTGGAAAAAAGTGTGACATTCCAGTGGTTAACACAATAATGAAAGTTAACTGAAAGTTATGTTTCCCATTTTTCAGAAACAATGGTTAAAGATGTCAGTTGAGCAAGAGACACCAGTGTAGGTTTGGAAAAGGTGCTGGACTGTCTCTGGTGAAACAAAACACAGTTTTTGTTTTTGTTTTTGTTTTTATGGGATCATAAAAAGCTCATTGGTTTTTTTTGGGGGGGAAAAGATAAATTACATTTTTATTCCAGTGTTTGGGAAAAAAACATTTATTAATTCCAGTGTTTGGAAAAAGCCACGGTGCTTTATCATTAGCTCTATTCTTAACTTGCAAAGAAGGAAATGGATTATTTTTGGACAGAATTTAATTAGTAAAACAAGAAGATAGGAAAATAAGAAAGGTCAAACAAGGCCAACTTATTTCTTCTAAATTCTAAAGTTAATTAAAAAGATGTGCCCTTTCTAAATCTATGTTGGTCGTCTCTTAGAATGCTGTGTTTTCGATATATTGTTCTATTTTAGTTCAGCCTATCATTACCATATCTGTACAAGTAACAGATGTAAGGTTAGCAGGACAACAGTTTTCCTTCTCCTCTGTTATGAATTAGTTTTATGTTTGCAATTGTCCAATCTAAACTGCTGGGTTCTGCTGCCTTGCTAATAGAAAGTTTAGATATTCTGGCAAGGGGTCTGTGGATAATGTTAAATTAATTACTTTAAATAATATTAATAATAATAATAATAATAATAATAATAATAAACTTAATTGTATGTAGAGCCTTTAAAGGTGGCTTCTCAAAGCGCTTTACAGAATGAGAACAACAATAAATAAAAAGAATACACAAGATAAAACACAATTACAATATACAGTGAAAGATACCATAATACCCTAGCATATTTTTAACCATCCTCGTCCTGCTTAGTGTCAGACAATAGTATACTGCTGGAACTTGTTCTGTAATATATTGTAGTGCATGTTATTGCAATTATGTTTGTTGTAAACTTGTAAAATATTAATTGAAAAAAATCATTTTGTTATCTCCTAAGATATTTACTTGAACCTTTACATAACTTTTAATGTTGTAGACTTACAAAATGCATTGCAGCACCTGCTGCAGGTTGGTGTACTGTTTGTCTTTGTGTTTTTGACCATTTTACACAATCTGTAGAGTTCTCTCTTCTTAATTAAACCATATAGGCCATGCTTTTTTTAACTTGGACTTAAGTTTTAGCAATGAATTTGTTTTGAGCCTTATAACACTATGGGTTATTTTTAGACCACATTATTCTCAAGATTTATTTTATTTCTTCATAGTCAGATAGCCACTATTTTTTTTAATTTAAACCCTACGTTCTTTTAGAGATTAAGAGTACATCAACTGATATTATAGTAATGCCATGTTTCTTTTCTTTCAGTTTTGCTATCGCATCTCCTCTCTTGTTGTTTGAAAAGATTAGATTAATCAGTTGGTGCTGTTACAAACTGGGTAAAGAATTAGTATTAGAATTAGAATAAGCATTTCAGCTACATCTATTTCACCTTCACGATTTACTATCACAGTATCCGATTTTATGTGTGGACAGTTGAAAACTTACGATAATCTAATATCACATTTGCTTAATGCCTTCCTGATTTTAATACACAGTAAGATGCATCTGTTTTAGGTGGTCTGCTCTGTCCTTAAAAGTGTCCTGCACTTTTTTTTTTTAGTTTAGCCCATATGACTTTTAAACTGCCTGTACCCTTGTGCTTCAGTTCTCTAGATTACAGGTCATTTATGATATATAGTCCTACATCACCAGCTCTTCTATCCTGCCAAAAATTGTACCCACTAATTTTATATTCGACACCATCATTCTCCTCCAGCCATTATTTAGTTATCCCTGTGTCACAGTTTTCTGATAATGCTGCAGCCTCACATTCTTCCACATTCCATCCCCTGTGCTTCTAACAGTGAGGTATAAACATTAAAGAGTGGATATTTTATTTTTTAAGTCTTTTTTTCTTAGTGTTGCTCAGAGCTTGGCTGACTTGAGAGCCAGGGCTCTCTGCACACCAGTTTTCCTAGTTTATAATATTCCTCAGCTACTTTAATCTTAATGGGTATTGATTAAAAGATCAGTGCTTAAAAGATAGATGTTAATTGTATGGCCAAATTAAAGAGAACTTCACTGCTAGTCTGTGATCTACTTTGGATATTAATTTGTAATTATATACATAACAGTTTTTTTTTCTACCCACTACATATTGAACTTACCGCTCAGGTTTCTTGGTCTTTACTTCTGTTTAAATGATGTGATACAGTATGTGATGGTAAATACACTGTAGCACTGAGCTAGAATAAGACAGCTGAATGCTCGTTATAGTGTCCAGTGATTGCACTTTAAAAATATTTGACACATCGCAGCTATCTGGGCAAAGTGGTAGTTAACAAGTTTTCCAATAACAACTGTGAATACTTTCCTAGTGTAATTAAAAATATGGTGAATTATGCCACTTTACAGTGAGGGCATAATAGTGCTGGGAGGATTTCACATTGTGGAAGATAGCTAGAGACGCCCAGTGTTTTACAGCACATACCTACTCATTAATAGACAGACATTGTGTGAATTATAACCAGGAAGATGTCAGCCATTGGGAAATGAGCAGTAGGCTTTACTGAGTTCATGGTACAGTTGGTGCTCATCCAAAGCTTCCCATTGAGATCTCTTTTGCATCAATGCAGATACAGTACTTATTTGCTGCGGTGTCCTACAGTGATGAACTCAACTATGGAGAATATTAAGCAGGTCTTATTAATACGATCTGCAATGCAGATATGTTTTAGAGGTCAAGTTAAACATAATGGGTTGGTGGCCTTGGCAACTGAAGATAGAGCTCAGACTCCTGTCTGTAGGCTCAGGATCAGATATATTTCTGTAGTTTCCCAGGTGTCGTTTTAATAGCTGCATTTGACATAAAACACTGTAATGCCACTGGAAAGGAAAGCAAATTCCTGGTCACAAACTGCTCATAGCAGATAGAGTCCAACAGACATTGACAGAATTCTGTGTCATGACAAGCAGAGGTCTTGCTCCATTGGGCCAAGTCACAGAAACCTCCAGAACTGGGAAAGTATCCCCTTTAGTGTGCCTTGAACTGATTTTGTGGTCGGCTGCTAGTTCAAGCTTTAAATTCCTCTGAAGAAAAAAAGATGTATAGCGTGGTTTGAAAAACAAGAGTTAAGCACAGCAGTTAAAATTAGATTTTAATTTTCCCATCTGTGTTTCAGATATATAATTACACTGTGACCCTTTTGAAAACTCAGTTTGCTAAGCCTGGAGCATTAGATGATTTGCCACAGAAACATTTCTGTTTTCACTCATTATACAGTAAAGGGCATATGTCAGAGCTGATGATCACAAGTATTCTGATCTCTTAAAAGGGGAAGCTTTTGCGATTTTACATAAGCCAGGCATTCCTTTTCTGAGCTAGTCCTCATGCATTATTCGGATATCCTTATCATTGTGTGAAAGTGCTAGATCACAAGCTAAATATTTGCTCTCCTCAGCATAATGAGGAGTCCTGTTTAAGCTGAATAAGCAAATTACAGTGAGGTATGGCTGAAAAAAACTAAAACAGCAGAACATATATTCATTTTGTCATTTGTACAGATTTTCTGAGAAGCTCCTGTGAAACTGGGCCAAGTAAAATTAGAGTAACATCAAAATGATTATCATCCCAATTTGTATAATGAAGTATAAAATTATAAAAGCTTGCTGCTGCTTCAGCTAAGCACATTATGAATGATTTAAGAACCAGTGAGTACAGAACTGTTCATTGGATGTTTGCATATTTTGTGAGTAGCACCTGATCGGCAGTTTAGCCCTGTCATTAAACATTTTCTACTACTGAAAAATTCCTTTATTTTATGGCCCATTTAAATATGTTAAAGTGTTTAGATTAGAAAAGGGTTTATCATACTGGTAATGTATTTTGTTTTTCAATTCTTCCACTGCAGGAAACACTACATTAATAATAATAATACTATTGGTAGTGTCTTGTTAATTAAGCTTTAATGTCTTGTGGCTCTATCCTTAGATTTACTGATCTGACAAGTTTCAACAGAAGAAAACTGAACTCTGATCCATTATCTCAGTGAAGTTGCACCTGAGTCTTCTCCACTCGCAGCTCCAGTCGGCATTCACGTCAATGACAGGCAGCATGTGACATCTGAGGTTTCACTTGTTACCCAGCATCCAGTGGAAAGGGACTGCTGCCTTGCCGGGAAACTGTCATGAACATTTTGGCGTTACACAAATCAGAAACCGTCAACACAGCTCACGGCTAGTCAGACATACCGCAGTGATTTAAATCAACAGGGAGCCTGATTAAATAGAGCTGGATCTGTTACTCAGAGGTACACGCACAATAAGAGATCAGTGCAAACCCCAGACCTTTCCTCAAAGAGAAGAAATTAATGCTTACCATCACCGGCCCACACACAAACACACAGTCTTCATTAACTTTTAAAACACACTACAAAGGCATCTGTTGCTCAGAAATGCACATCTCTCCGCTATGACACTGGGCAAAATGTGGCAAGGTGCATTTGAAAAGAAACAGCCATTAACCTTCAAAAGGGCAGGAGCTTGTTTATCAGTAACCTATTCATTGCAAATCGAATTACTTCAATTTGTAGTGAAAGCTTTTTATTTGTGTGTGTTTTGAAAGGAGCCCGATAGAACCAGAGATAAAAAAGGTGTCAAGGTGACAACAACTGGTTGATCCTTTTAGAAGCTGGAGAGAGAAAGTGAATGAGAAGTTGTTTTTCTAAATGGCAAGAAATGCATCCGATTGTAAAACCTAATTATCCTTGTCAGTTTAAGCCTGGTGGACATCGTTTTAATTATTCCAACGCAATATGAAAATCAATGAGCTCACCAGGAGAAGCCTAGCTGTGGGCTATAGTTAGTAAAAGAGGATCGTTGATATGTGCACCTGCAGCACCTGATAAAGCATAGGAGCAATCAGCTGATAAGCTGGGGGGAGATTGGAGAGAGAACAAAGAGGTGAGAGAATCAGAGAGGTAAACCTGGACAGAAGTCTCTGTCAGCTAAAAGAGTCATGATGGGTGGGATCGATCGTGTTGGGAGGTACAGAGAGCCTTAGAGGTCACTCCTAGCATCTCAAACTCACTCTCGGTAATTAAACCTGAGCCGCTGTCTATAAGTGCTGGCTTACAATGCCAGCTTGGCTATGACAGGCGCACTCACTGAATGCAGTCGAAGGCTGTGAATTTTAGAGATTTATTTTGAAGCATGACGGATCAGGATGAGTTATGTGTAACCATCCTCCAGCCTCTGATGGGGCATCTCCGTGCTGCTAAGTGAAAGGAAACTAATTGCATATCCAGCCAAGTCCCCTATATCTCCTTTCTGCAAGATGGGGGAAATGAAATGGCATGAATGAAGCAACCCGAATCAATTTAGTGATGATGACAGCCCTCCTCCTTTCCACTGTATTCTTTCATTTCCAATGAATGTGTTGGTTGTACAGCTCTGGGCACCCTCACATCTCTTACTGAATACTCCAGCGCAAGGAGCTTCTGAGCAATGTTCCACATGCACTTTGCAGGTTTGCCTGCAATAAAGTGAAATTGTTCCTCACAAATAAGCTTGACACAGATAACATAATTGACACTGTTTGATTTGCGACTTTTCCTTCGTATCACCTTGTATTTAGATTCCTTCCATCCCCACGAAGACAAAGAAGTGAACCTTTTTATGTTTTTCTCCCTCCCCCATTCATTATTCCTGGCATTATTGCCAAATATTGAGTGATGAATGTCTTTATTTAGTGGCTCTACTGTATATGCATGCACGGGGTTTAAGAAACGCATGCAATTTTAAATAAATTTAAATACATTTTTAAATAAATAAATAAATCGCATGAATAAATTTTGAATAAATATGACAATCACATATTGAACCTGACTCATTTAGGTATTATTTACTCCAGACAATGTTCTAAGTCTCACTGTCTGAGTAAAATTAGATAGTTAAATAATGTCTTCAGTAATGTTTAATTCAACTTATGTAAAATTATCAAAAAAATGTCAGAAACACTTAGAATACATAAATACAGTCCAATATCTGAAAGATTTATTTGAATTGTGCGAAGTGGTCTTTGCCAGTACACTCATAAGCAGAAGCAGGCCCACAACCTTGATGACCCCCCATGCCCATGACATTCCCTGTTTGCAGGGTAGGGAAAAATGGACGTAGCTTGTCTGCTCAGAAGTGTAAAATCTTTCAAGGGACCTGCAGTGTAAAAGCTGTTCCAGTGAACCGAGCACACTACCAAAAGGTTAGAGTGATTTCTAGTGAAGCAACACGGCAGAAGGAGGAGTCTGGCATAGATGCTGCGTGCCCCAGACTTTGACTTGATGATCCTGGCACTGTCACCTCACAGTAAAAAAAGACTCTGGAAGAAGAGATGAAGGATGACACTGGGTGGAGAGCACAAAGAGTGGAGGGCCATCCGTCATGTGCTTTGTTCTGAGGCAGGTGTCGCATGACAGAGTTTGCATGCCTTTGTGTGACACCCTCCTTTCTGAGAACAGGGGATGAGATAACCCCATGACAAACAGAACACAAATTCAATTGACAGCTGACTGGATGCATTAGGCTGTACTTGTGCTCTGTGCTTAATTCATCAGGCCATTGTTTGGCCTCTCAATCAACACTACCTTGCCTGGAGTTAATAGAATTGCTGTAATTACATCTGGATAGACAGATGCTGTAGGTTCCTTAGTTCTTATGATTTGCTACAGTATGTCTTCCACGTGCCTCATAAACAGTAATGTGCAAAACATATAAACACACACACCGGAAGAAGGCTCCACAGCCAAAATATTGTGTTTCCTTTCTTCTCTTTTCAGCATGGAATAAACCTTTACTTACTCCTTATAAACACACATCTTATAAATGCCATGAGGGCATTCGGTTGATTTTCATTTCGTTTTTATTTGCTATTCTCTGCTCTGTCGAAAGGAAACTCAGTGTGGGGTGTAAGTGGAAGTAAAACAAATACTTTTGGCACCTTTACACCTAATCCCTTGATTTATGAACTCTTAGTTTACAAATCTTCGCTATAAGCAGAAGCACAGATGTTTTGGGCATTCTGAAGAGATGTTCACTACAATAAAGGTGTACCCTTTATATCAAAACAGAGGACACCTCCCACTTTAACACACAGCACAGTTCACAGACATGTTCTTAGATTTTTTTAGACATTTCATCTTGTCTGATTGTTAACTATTACAATGGGGTGATAGGGAAATTATATATCATAAAAGAGTGATTATCTAATTACTATTATGATGATTCAGCACTCTGTAAGGATAAAATCCACTAATGCTGAGTGGTGTCTAAAACTTTAGGAATTAATCAAAAGGTTTAATGTGGAAAATAATATGAATTTTGTTTGTGGTTTCTGAATTTTTATCTTACAAAGCCTCCACATTGGTAGGTAAACTTGCCCCCTCCATACACAAAACACAGATGCTCTCTGTGAGCTCCAAATATTTGTACAATACACCAAGACCTTTTCCAACTAAATGTAATAGTTTTGAAGTACTGAGCAATAGTTCATAAAATGTTGAGGAAAAAAAAACAAGTATCCTTCTTGGCCAAGTCTAAAAATAAATGCTCAGTTATATGAAGTAGCCAAGGGTCACATTGCATGGAGATTTTGGTGCATGTTAGTTCCATAGATCCTCACCTCAAGATATTTGACAGAAATCACAGTCAATTGTCTATTTTGTTGTATCGGAAAGAAACATTTCTGAGAATTGACACAAAAAAGCAGTCATTTAAGAGTGGAAAGAGATCCACTCATACTGTACATGTTTCTAGGGCAACTAGGATCTGACATAAACTGCATATGACATGTCAAACGTCAAGCAGAGCTGAGCCCATAGCTTTTGTTGGAAATAGCAGTATGCAAGATGGAGGTCAGACTATAGCCATAGAAAAAAAATATATTTGTTTTTATTTATATTACAAACTTTTTGGAAAAAATCCCTTCAGCTTTACCTTATGAAACACAAATCTTCTGATACCCTGGTGACATTTATGGCTAACTTTGAAGAAAGCTTTGTTTTGACACACTCTCCTACATTTCCTCTGTGCTCTATCTCAGTGAGATGACAGTCAGTCTTGAAGTGGACAGGTTTTGGTATTAAAAAACGATCATAGAAGAATGACGCTGGGGCCAAAACATTAAACAGTCTGCTTTCTTGTTCAGATTATATTCAATTGGGAAGAGCTTTTGTTTGCGTGTACAGTACAGTACATGTGGGTAGTTAATAAAATATGGACCATGCCAAACAACAGGCTTATCTTTTTTAACCTCATAAACACTTGAGGCCATTTTGCATCTTACTTTATGGAGTTGCTTATTTATTAATCCATAAATTTTTTAATCTGAAGTGACGTATCATCATAAAATAGTTTTTTTTTGTTCTGAACAAGAAATTACAGTGGAGCGACCTGGCTAAGAATAAATATTAAGGGGTGTTCTGGCTCCCTTGGAACTTTTGGCAGTTTTTAACCAGTTTGTTATAGATTGACAGCTGATGTCTCTCCACATTTCTTTCTCTTTCAGCTGCTTCAGGCCCGGAAGATGTGGCTCTCTATGTTGGAATTGTTGCTGTGGTTCTCTGCCTCACCCTGCTGCTCATTGTGGTTGTTCTGGTGTATCGGCGCAAAAAGGAAGGCCTTGATGCTGATGTTGCGGACTCTTCTATCCTAACCACAGGTTTTCAGCCTGTGGGCATTAAACCTGCCAAGCCAGGTGTGTGGCCATATCTCAGAATACCCGTCTGCAGCAGGCTGTCATTTCATAGAAGTGACAGAGAGAACTGCCTGCAATTAACAAGTCTGAATAAAAGTGCCCACACCAATGTCAGCTATGATTGTATATCTGTGCCCGTTGTCTTTTGTGTGAGAAGTGTTCATTCAAAACTAGAAAAAAAAAACGTTTAAAACAGATTAGCCACAGTCGATGCTGCTGTCTTTTAGTCAACAACTAAAAACATTCTTGACATCCTGCCATTATTTCAGTTTTTCTTATTGTTATTGGAGCACCCTTGTTGGTATCAGCAAAAACATTACTTGTGGAAATTCTGATACTTTTCCGGCTTAAACTGTCGGTGGAAGCTTGAAAGCTTCTTAAAATGCTACGAATTCGAAAATGTTTTTAATGTGTTTTTTTTTTCCTGTGTTAGTGTGTCCGTCATTTGACTTGTCTGCACTGCCTGACGGCAATATCTGGAAATGTCAACAGCAAAGTGTTGTGGTAGTATAGGAGGAATAGTTCTACTCCTCTATATTAGCATGAGAATATAAGAAAACGATTATATATGTATTGAACTATATATTGAACTCTGAGCAATGAGGAGTGCAGAAGGAAACTACTTCTAAGGGATAGCTTGGGTGCTTCAGTGTGAACTGTATGTGTGGAAGAAAGAGAGAGTTGTCTGGCATTTAGTGTCTGGGCGCTTTAACCTGCCGAGCATTTGGAGATTTTCATGGTGGTCTATCTGTTTTTGTTCTAATAGAGAACTCCCATTTGCTTACCATCCAGCCCGACCTTACCACTACCACCACCAGCTACCAGGGCAGTCTGCGGTCTCGGCACGACGCCACTGGGAAATTCCCAGTGAGCAACGGCCCCTTGCTGGACCCTCTGCCAAACGGGCAGCACACACTGCACAATGGCAAGCTGCCCACCGACCCTGCGGACTTCATGACCCGCCTCTCCACACAGAGTTACTTCAAATCGCTGCCTCGAGACACAGCCAACACCTCCTACGGTACCTTCAACTTCCTGGGCGGGAGACTGACCATTCCCAACACAGGTGAGTTGGGCCACTGCTTTTCAGACGAAGACGTCAGCGGTCAGTTCAACACCTTCATCAAAGCTATGTATGGTGCTCTGATAACATTAAAATTAATTTATGGTTAGTATTAGGGTTACAGATGTGGCGAAGGATATGATTGAGGTTTAGGTACTCATGTATCTGGAAAAAAATGTCTATACATATGAATGGAACTGTACCATCATATACAACGTCTATAAAGTTGTGCCTATAGAAGTCAAATCTGGGCTGTAGGACCTTAGGGAATTTCTTCCAGTTGACTTTATGCAGCACAATAATTGAACATAAAGTTTAAGTGCCATCCAGAGTCCTGCCTGAGAAACTGAGAAAAGCTGCCATAGAAGCCATATAAAATGAGACAAAACACTTAGCACATAACAGATCAGGCATAAACAAGCACTGTCTGCTGTCTCAGCAGGTGTTAAAATTGAAGCTAGGAATGTAGAAACTATGTGGGAACACTGTGTCCAGATCTCAGCATTGATGCAGCATTGTGTTGTAAAGGTCAAGGCCTCTTTAGGAAAGCTCTTTGGCTCTTTCGGAAGTTTATAATTTTTTTATTTTATTTTCTTACACTTTGAAGAAAGTTTAAAGGTCCAGACACATTCAGTAATGCTAAGCAGTGCTATAGTACTACAGGTACACAGCGGTATGTGTCAAATCAAACAAACAGCATTTATATTCACTTTTATCCTCAGTGAGAGCTCAGGATAAAAGAAAGGAAAATAAACAGGGAACCCTTTTCATTCTGATAGGTCTTCTTAAAATTTAAATTGCGGTTATCAAAAAATATTTGTCCTGCAACTTTCACAGAGCTGTCATTTTTTAGGACACTTAGCTCCAGACTCTGTTGCCGAATGATATAATAGCTGACTTGTCAGGTTAGTAAGACAGTCTCTGCATTTAAGACAGCTGAAGCATAACACACTCCACAAAAGCTACCAGAGAGTATTCAAACTGCGATTTTCCTTCTGTGCCAAACTAGATTTCCTTCAAGTCGTCATTTCAATTTATTTTTAATTTTCTACATTTTTGTACAATTGGAACACTTCTGTTGACTCTGCAATTCCACTTCAAGTACTCTGCAAGTCAAAGCCTCTCAGAATATGGCAGTCCTTTCTTCTTCAGGTGCAAGCAACAGAGAAAACCAATATTCTTTATTGATTACAACTGGCTGGTGATGTTGCAAAACAAAACATATATTTCATTATGTTAACCATTACACAGGTAAATTACATTTCTCAATCGATTTACCATTTATTTCAAAGGCTAAGACTGAAATGAGTGAGATTGAGTTAAGCAAGTACAAAGGGCTTTAAACAGTGCAAGGTTATTATCTTGATGACTTAATTGTCTTGTGTGGGACTTGGTGGTAGGTAGACTAATTCAACCACCTGAGTGTTCATAAAATTATCTCATCAAATGTTAATAAGTTACAGACAAGTCAGCTTCAAGTCTTCAGGGAATAATATGTGGTTTTCCAGCAAACTACTGAAGGAAGAAAACCATCATTTTGATTGTTAAATTTATGGGATGGAATTGGTGCTTTTATTATAGTATCTTGGACTGGTGTTTGTGTCATACAGGCATGACGGTATGACTGGGTAGTTCTACTGCCTCATAACTTCAGGGTCCTGGGTTAGATTCTGGCTTTGAAAGTCTGTCTGCACCGAGTTTTCATATTCTGCCTGGGTTGAACTGGGTTTTCCTTTCCCCTGGGAGAGAGGTTCCTAGTATGACTGAGGTAAATGTTTGTTCCCACTATGTCCAGTATTGGATAATGTGACTAAAGCAGAGCTAAATGAGTTCCTCCTCTTTTTAGCTGTTCTGTTGTTGTGATCCACACATGCTCAGACTCTGCTCAGGTTAGCAGATCTGTAAGGATTTAATGTCAGAGTGGAAGCTGATAAAAATGGATTAGCTCCAAAAGCAGAGAATGTTGACAAGTGGAATATTGCATCTTTGAAGTGGCTGTCGTGCCTTGAGTCTGTAGCTCCTGGGCCAAAATTTCACCTTGCAGAGAGAATCCATCTCGGATTTTGTTTTCTTTAAATCCGGTGCCATTTTATCCTCCTTGCGGGGTTGAAAAACTCCAAGCAGACATTTGCGGAGTTCTCGGAAGAAGCATCCCCTTAGAAAGGTGATTTAAAATTTTCCTTATTCCGAGGACCCTGCTTGCTTCCTTGCCTGGTGCCGAGACAGTTCTGTTTAGAAATAAACTGTGAGAAGAAAATGAAAGAGCTCTATACTATTATTGACTCAATAACTGGGCCTATGTAACCGATATCTGAATGAGTGCAACATACTGCAAACTGTAGCAGCCAAGGTTTATGAAGAGGAAGAAAAGGGAATTAAATCTGTAATATTGTCTTTAGTTGCTCTATCATGATGAAGCACAAAGAGGTATTTCTTTTTATGAGGAAGCCAAGTATTTTTCTTAGCAGCCACCTTACTCTTAAAGAAACCATTGCACACAGTTTTAAGGACTGTAATATAAGCGGATGACATATATATAGCAAATGAAGACTGTATCTTCACATCAAGGATTATTTCAATGAAATATAATTCTTTCAAAGGTCAGGCTCATTTTCCTTTGTGACTGCACTCTTTCATGAAAGATCACCTCATATCCTAGTGTATCTAAACCAATAATAGAAATCCATGAGCTTTCAATGTTAAGGTGCTTTGTAGGAGAAGGTTAGACTGAGCACCTCTGCCTCTATAAACTGGAAAAATGTTCATTTGGGAAATCACCAGTTTGTATGCCACATCAGGTCACTGCAGGTGTGTCACCGTGCTCTTGAAGTGACCCTTTGTTTCACCGCTCATGTTTTTATATTGGAGTTGAAGCAATCTGACAAAAACCCAAGGTTAGCTTTACCTGCTGTAGTTCAGATTGAATCCATCTTCATCATCCTGTTCTCTGCAGGACTTGTCAAGAGTGTGGTAAAAGAGGGGAATATAGCCTTCAACAATTGGAGGATATGTCAAATTGGACATGTGGCATTTCCAAATATATAGCTTTTCTCCTGGGTCTGTTCTATCAATTAGTTTACCTTTAGTGATGCATTTCTCTCTCTGAATTGGAAAGCTGGTCTGTGGTCCCTTGACAGATATGACTAGCTGGTGTGGAAGTTCTTTGACCATGCAAATATATGAGTTTTGTTTCAGTATAGTGTGCTTATTGTTAGTCAGCACCTCCAAAGCCTCTGTAACAAGAGAAAAGCAGAAGTGTCCTGCAGACAATTACAAACTATTTTTGCTTGTTGTTCTTGTTTGCTCTAGGAATCAGCCTGCTCATTCCTCCTGAGGCCATTCCCAGAGGGAAGATATATGAGATTTATCTGACTGTTCAGAGAAAGGAGGATGTAAGGTACGTTCCTTTGCTTCTGTGTTCCCTTTGGAACAACAAAGAAAAAAATCAGAACTTCTTTTGCAACACTTATCAGAACTGATGACAATGAGCCCTCATTTTGTCTTGTTTTTAATTTAACTGTAGGTAAATTGTTCTTAATTTGACCATGCAATGTGACAGTACTTCTTTTTATTAATTAATTCATTTGACTATGGGGAAGAGCATAAAACTTTATTTCTGTCTTGTATGTAATTGTGGATTGGATTGCATTTGGTGTATTTGTCAAGATGGCGTATTGTTTAAATTTGATTGGTTTTCCAGTTTTACTAAAAGCAGGGTCAAGCCTGCTATTTTCCAAAAGCAGAATTAAAGAAAATAAATATTGTATTTCAGCATTGTTCACATTTTGTCGTGTGTTTGTCTTTAACTTTGAATTTCACATTAGGCGTTAAGGTGTGCTGAAAGGCAGGTAGTAAGAAAATTCAGCAGGATCTGATCTGTTTTGAGTTCCTCTAAGTTTACAAACGCCGTCAGTTAGTAAGGCGACGCAGCATGGACAGGCGCAAAGATGGCCTTTGGGAAACGTGGATGTTCAGTCTAAACGTTATTTAACTTTGAAATGTTGCTGTTCTCTCTGTCATTCCCATTGCATTGTTTCCTACTTGAGGTTGCCTCTAGCAGGCTGTCAGACCCTACTAAGCCCCATTGTAAGCTGTGGCCCACCTGGAGTGGTTCTGACCCGGCCCGTTATCATCAGTATGGACCATTGCTCTGATGCAAACCTCGACAACTGGGCCATCAAGCTGAAGAAGCAATCATACGAGGGGAGCTGGGAGGTAAGCTTCTGAGCTTAATCAGGAGTAGTTTCAGCACCCCCTGTTTCTGAATTATGTCCACCTAGAACAGTGTTACAACAGTCCTTTTTACACATCTTCTGGCATCCTCACACTGGATGAAATGATGGCGGAATTGATTCTAATCTCTCTCTTGCAATTAAGGCATCCATTCAGTTCATCCCAGTCATGATTAAATTCAGTTGAGTCCTCTGCTAAATCTGTTAATCTGTGTTAACAAGTGCACGTATTGCCTGCATGATGCCTTGTAATAGTTTCTTACAAATTTATGTGGCAATCAGACAAAATGTGTTTAGCCACTGGTGAAAGTAAATTGTCAAATTGCCTTCAAGGTATGCATCTCAGTTTCTGGATGACCCTGAAAAGTACAGTGTGTGGAGGAATGCTGGAGAACAGCAGGAGTCCTCTTTGGTGTTCAGTATCTTGCATAAATTATTTAAGCGCTCCGATGTTGTGGCTGTGGGGTGTCTGCCAGATGAATTGGCCTGTCTGATGCAGAGGTTAGGTGACCACATTTAATCATTCTGAGGGCCAAATCTATCCTACTGCCCCCAGACTGGGCACTGAGAATAAGAAAGAGATAACAAATCCAAAGGTGATCACGGTAAAGATCGATCTCATACACCAACGGTTGCAAATAAATGTGCTCGGTACAGCAGATTCAAAAACACTGACTACGTTTAAAGTAAATTAAATAATAAAATTACTCTGTGGAGCAATTTCGTATTGATATTTTATTGATTATGATTATAGAATGCAACTGCATTGCTATCCTGTAAACATTTCAAATAGAAGAAAAATGACAACTTAGCCAGTGTTGTAATTCGAATCTCATGTCACTGCTGTTTCTTCTCTCAATGTTTCATATGTCACCAGGCTGGGTCTGTTTGATAGAAACTGAAGTCGTACACTGCAATAGAACTCCTGGAGCACACAGCTGATTGTATTGATGGGTATATCAATCAATGCAGCCAAGGGAACCTGGTTATTTGGGCAATTTTTAGTTTTTTGTTACTGCAAAGTCTTTAAGAATCCCAGTTTCTCTCCTATATTTTTAATGAACACTTGAACATCATAGTCAAAGTCAATTGATCATACACAATACTTGCAGAAGTATAAATATATCATGTGGTGGCATTATATGTTCATACTCAACTTGTATGCTCTAGGTGACTCATACCCTTTAAGGTAATTGCTAACAGAAAGAAAGAGAAAAGTAGAATATCTAAATAAATTTGAATTTTTCATTCGGAAAAGAAATGTAATGACCTTTATAATCTGTTCATTTACAGAGAAGGATGGTGGCTTTGAGTCCAATTGGGGGAGGTGGGGGAGACACTCTTTAATTAAATACAGAATGAAAAATAAATGTGATCACAGGTCACTGAAAGACAAAGGAAGCTGTCCGCCTTTAATTACCTAAGGAGCGTGGTGTGGTTATGAGAGAGCTGGCCTCGCCCGCAGCCTTAGTGATGCCCTCTTGCTGTGTGCTCTGCATCATTAGGTTGTCAGTGAATCATTTTAATGCACTGTTATAAAGCAGTGCAGCAGATAAGCTGCACCAGAACCACGTGGTGGCTTGAAAACAGCACAGGCAGACCTTCACCTGTGAATCAGGCCTTCAGCTATGGTCACTGGACCATGCTTTCCAAAACTCAGGGAGAATGTTGATGTGCCCTTTAATTTATAGCTATTCATCCCCAAAGTTTATACCCAAAAAACCTAGCAATGAGCCATTGCTGTATTTTAATTGAATTGAAGCTGAGGTCTTTACTAGGACTAGATGTGCTCTTTCTAGCCAGCAGCAGATTAAGACTTACTCGTTCACTTTTGGTTTATTGTAAAATGAGAAGTCATGCTTTTTATTTTACTTACGCTATGATATTGTGTTTCCTTCTTAAGTAACATAGGCATTCAAATAAAGCTGGATATTATTTCTCAGTAATACTCCTCAGCTATTGTAAGTAAAATAAATAACTCAGTCTAAGCCATTTAAAATAGTGAAACAGGACAATCTGTGGCAGTCGTATATGGGCAGATATGAGTCAGATTTATTTTGGTGCTGTTACTATTGGATTATGAGAGAATATTTTGAGATATTTTCCTCTGCAAGATTACAAGTTAACTATACATCAACAGCTGCAGAATGTTTTAGATGTTATAACTGAAATGCAATTATAAGCATCCATTCCTTCCTACTATCCCTTTTTCTAACACATTGAAGTTGCTCTTGGATGTGTAAATTGAGTCAGAGAACTTTGTGCACTGGGTCATGTGAACATGTAATTATTCCAGCCATCCAGCAGGAGCCCCAGTTATGCAGTACATACTGTAAGGAGAACAAAAAAAATCAGTTAAAAAGATCCTAAAAACTGTAACTAATGTAACTAAATTTTCTATTTTTCCATGCAACAGCAATACAGTAAGTGATCTTCAATATAAAAGTCATCCTGCGAGCAGCATCAGATTTGTTATTCTTTAGCAGATGCCTTTCCCCAAGGTGACTTAAACTGAAGATCTGACAGAGGGATACTGTACAACGTTGTGCGTTGCGAGCCCTTCAAATGGAGTATTTACTGTAAAATCATCCTTTTATTTGCAGGACTACTGCACCTTTCAAACGTAGACTTAGGAATAGATTTTGAATGAAAGCGCTGCATCAGGCAAAAAAAATAGTGCTGCATTCAAGGTGTTTTGATCTCCACCATGATTTATTCTCAGCCTGCCTGTATTGCTGATGATGAGTCGCTCCCTCTTTTCCCTTATCAGGACATTATGGACCTTCCCATGTCCATCATCGGGTTCAGTGTATTAAGAACAGAAAGAAAAAGTAATGTAATTGGGGAACAGTTGTTGGGCTGTGCGTTAACAGGCAAGCATTCGCCATGATTTTGCGAAGTACTGAATGATCTTCTCAGACAAGTTAACAATTACACACATATGCCTAACAGATGGGAAATAGCCAGGAGCTCAGGTCTCTCAAAATAAACGTGTTTGTTTTGTTTTCCCTCCTGCATCCGTCATAGTACCAGCGTTTTCGTTCTAAATGACTTCCAGTGGAATTCTGAAAGCTCTCTAATGAGGGCAGCACATCCCCTATTTCATTTACTTATGAGAAAACATATCAGGCTAATAGGCTGCTGTTCACGCAGGGTCATCTTCTGCAAAAGCATACTCATATCCACAGACCTCCTATGGAAATCAAGGATTGCCAGCAAGGTTAATTGATGCTAACAACAATAAAAACGGTGCCTTTTCTTTTGTTCTTTTCAAACTTGATGGCATTCACAGAGCTGCTGAAGCACAGCCGTGCAGTGGAGGTGTAATTAAAGACAAGGCTACAATGATAGCTCCAGCATGATAGCATAAATGGGTTCCATATTGACTGAAAAACAAAACAGATTCTACGTCATGATTATTGTCATTTATTATTTGCTAGATGTTTAGGTTTTCAGATAAACAAGCTGTTTCTAAATGTCCAAGCACAGTCTTTCAGAATCACATCAGGAAGAACTGTATATAGTATTGGCATTAGGCATAATACCAGCACACTTTTGTAGCAGTGGTAGCCACGCAGCAGTAGGAGAAATAATAGGAGTAGCATTAGAAGCAGTTGTGGTCATCATTATCATCACCACGATAAATGTGCTGTAATCTGTGATGAAGGAAAAAGTGCTGCATACTAATTTATAATATTGTTCCTCTGAAAGCACATATCAGTGAGCAGGGAAGATTGATGCACGGGGTATGTGAAGGTTTGTGAGGAATGCAAAGGTGTCAGAGTAATGGAATTGCCGGCTCCAAACCTGTTCGGCTAAGCTAAGAAAGTCCTTGATTGGGAATGATGTATCAGGATTTACTGAGAAAAAAATATGTTTGAGAATTGCTTGCATGCATCTCCCTGGACCGGTTAATATGCAAGCTATTGCTTAAATAATCCATTACTGTTTGCTGTATTCCATATTATTCTGTGCTTAATAGGTACGGTAACTCAGGCTTGCTTTCACTCTGCCTGCCAGGCAGTGTTAGCTCCTTGCAGGCTGGTGTCATTAGGACAGCTAAGCTTGACATTCTTGCACTCTGTGACAGGATGTGCTGCAGGTGGGAGAGGAGCTGCCTTCTGACCCCTATTACTGCCAGCTGGAGGCGGAGACCTGCCGCGTCTTCACCGAGCAGCTGGGCCGCTTCATGCTGGTGGGGGAGTCGCTCAGCATGGCCGCCGCCAAGCGCCTCAAACTGGTCCTGTTCGCCCCAGTGTGCTGCACCACCTTGGAGTACAGCATCCGGGTCTACTGCATGGACGACACACAAGATGTCCTCAAGGTGACCTCCTTTACCACGTTTGTCTGGGTCTTGCTTATGTTGTTGTTGTTGTTGTTGTTGTTTTTAATGGGCCATTGCTCCTACTCCTTAATCAGAGAAGGGATAAGAGAATGGATCAATCTGACTTTAAAAACATATCTTTCTGAAAAGGTAAAGAACACTGCAGCAGCCTTAGTGACAAGATGTTGAGCTGCATATAACTGGCCTGGGCATCCTTCTGTCCAATCGTTTTTGCACGTGTGTTTTTATACAGCAGACCTTTCCAAGCAATTAAGGGTATGCATGCTCTTTCCATGGTGTGTTTTTGTTAACATCCAACCTACACATCAGCAAATTAAACCTAAATAGTTAAAGGACTAGATGTTCTTTAGGAATTCCCTTTAATAGACTTTTGAGTTTAAATTTACATGCCGAAACAACAAAGAAAAAAATCATTTCTGCGCATTCGTTATCTGTTCTTTTATTTGCCCGTCCCCACTTTCGGTTGCAAACACAGAGCCTGAGGCACGGTACATTTCTGGAGAGCCAGAAGAGCTCCTCTTTGGAAGATTTGCCAGAGTGGGTGACCTTTCTCTTTAGAGGAGCTAAACGTTCAGGGGTTTTAGTACAATTGCTGTGCCGAGAGACCATCGTTCTAGCAAATTAAAGCCTCTGCTTGAAGGGAATATTGGCACTTTCACCACAAAGTGCATTGTGGGGGAAAAAAGAGTCAGAAAGTAGATGGAAATTGATTGCTTCCCAACTTAGAAGCCCACAAAGAGTGTTTGGAGACATGGTTGTTGACATTCAATTTGCGGAGTTTGGGAATAAAAGCATCAATTTTAAAAAGGTCAGTGTTGCGACATGCACTAAACTTGTCGCACAGAAACTTCTTGTCTGAATGAAGAGATTGGCATCTTGAAATATCAACACTTCTGACTGACTGCAGTCTGGTTCTGAAGCTGCCTCTTTTTTGTTTGAGCACTTTATTTAAGCCAACCATAATTATCCACCGTAAATTTTATTGTATGACGAACCAATTTTTATTTTTATACATTTTGGACATTTTTCACTTCTTTGAACTTTCTGTTCTATTGACTTAATTCCTCTTAATTCAATCCAGTTCATGCTTTGAAAAGCAGTGGCAGCTGTCTGCATGTTTAGCTTTTCAATAAGGCTTAAAATATCATTGAATGAAAGTGAATGATAAAGCTGGAGACGCTGGAGACTTTATCTTTTGTTATGTTTTGGTGGAATTGTTTTTATCTTCAAATTTTAAGTGTGTATGATATGCAAAGAAATGCATATTGTCCACAAATATTGTAACAGTTTGAGGTCTTTTCAAAAGGCAACTGTGTGCACTTGCATTTATTGCTGATATATAAATAATTATCAATTTATTCATATTTTGTTCAGTTTGAAAAAAAGAACATTTTCAGTGTTTTAGGTCTGACTACAGTAACCTGAGAATTCCATTAGAACATCTACTCTTATTTAAACACTAGACAAGTGAAGCCCTATGGAACTCAAAACATTTTTGCAGAGCTGGTTTAAAACTAAAAGCTTTCTATAATGCAAACATCCCTTTTTCTACTTGTGGTTTCTTGCTAGTACAAAAAACTGCTTTTGTCTAAACATATGTGCCAGTTTTGCACAGATCTGTTCCCTTGAGTAGATCATCCTCTGTTTTCAACAAAACAAAACAGCTCTTACCTGTTAATAACTTGTCTAAAAGGATATTAATGGCCTTTTATAGAAGAGCAGGTAAATTACATTGGGGATTAACAGAGTGCTTGGAGGCGATCACAGAACAAAAGGGCTGCTAATTTATTGCATTGTCATTATGAACTAGCAGAGACCTTTTAAAGTTTAATTAGATAAAGAAGAGCTGGCTAAAACAGAGAATTAAAGCTGTTATAGTCTTTAGCTGGAATTACCAACAACAAAAACCCTTAAATTATTTTAGTTTATATTACTTTATATAATTTATATAAACATTTCTAATGTGTCATGTAAATGGAAAGTAACAAAAATAGTTAAAATAAGATGAAACATAGCTTTTTGTATTCATAGGTTAGGCATGAAGAGAGGAAACAGTCTGGCTACAGACAGAGAATTAGTTTTTTCTTAAGTAGACTTTGGAGAAAGTCCAAGCCTTTTATCGATCCATTTGCTGAACACACTGATGAATTGGAACCCATATTTAAGAGTTGTTATAGTATGTGTATTCTGAAGGTGTGTAGACTTGCAGTCTCCAAATCTTCAGAATTATTTTTAAAATGTATGATTGGTTGAAATAAGAGTGACAGTAAATATTTACAAATATGAAAACACGCATGTCCCCCAAGATCTTCTTCCAAGAGAACCTGGAATATGAGAGAGATAATGTCACTTTTCATGGTCTGAAGCCCTCTTAACCCTGTGGGACAAATGGCTTCCATAATGAAAACCCCACCTCCTTAAGATTCTCAAAGAGACCAGGGGTGTGAGCCCAAGAAAGTGACGTATTTATATTTCTGTATTAAGAAACCATCCAAATTTGATTTTAAAATATGAGGGTGTTGATAAATAGCATAGAAGCTTAAAAATATTGGGGATAACTAATACATTAGTAAACATATTTTAATGTATGGAATGGAAAGTGAATGTATAAGACTTTGATGTGCAAGTCTTTAGAGCAAATAGCCAACACTGCTGAAAATCAGGTAATACTGTCTATTTCAGGTGGGGTATAAAATCAAGCTGTTTGTGTATTAGCTTCCAAGTATTACCAAAGTGCTGTAAACAGTGAATACAGTGTCTTTTCTAAAATCCTTTTGATCGCCGCTTCCCAGTTGCCAATCAGTGCTGACAGCCTCTGTCAACCTGATACCAGCAGACAAAAGAAGAGTTTCAACTAATTAAAGCTAAAATAATGTTATTGTCTTTGATAATGAGCTTAAAATGACACCAGGGATTCCAGAGCATTTAGTCTTTGTGTTCTCAATATGCATAAGATCTTGCAGGACCAATAACATGAATATTTAAAGTCGAGACGGCTCAGGCCATGCGTCAGAAGAGCTTGGCGTTCACTTCCAAAATGTCACACTTGTTTTGTTTGTATCTCTGGCACATTGATGTCGCACTGAAACCAACATGATTCCAGTCCTTAACCACAAATCTCTTATCTTTCCTATCGGGTAAGTAGCTAGGTAGAGACTTGTGCATTCATTAGTATTAGGTCTTCATTAGTATTAGGGATATAGCAAAACTCTTTTATAGAAGTATAACATTGTTGCTGAGCAATGTCTTTCATGGTGTGTTTTTCATAATAAATGCAATTAAAGCATTATGTAGTGTTTGATTTAATAATATTGTGTCATGAAACAAAATAATCTGATTTAGTTTTCTTGGACAGCTTTTGGCTTGAGCATGGAGTTCACCTCTGACTTTGTAAAGGGTTAAGGAAAGATAATTTTTGAGGGAAAGAAAGCTGTATTTCTTTTTATATGTAAAGACACCCATTTTGAACAGCTGAGTCATTCAATTTTTTTTCACTGTTCAGATGGGTTGATATATTATCAACACAATTAAAACATTTAATCTATGATTCATAAAGTATTTGGAGCCCAGTTGTTTAAACGTTTCACACTCTACTTTTCTGCTAAGTATTTCCACATTACAGTAGATTTCCTTTGTTTCATTTGGCCATGTGAATGTGTTACATTTCAAGCAAGCAAACAGTTTGTTGACAAACAGATAAAATGAGTGTTAATTGAATACCCTTTATATATTCACAGACTCTGGTGGACATGTAAGGGATGCATTAACAGAATTAAGACATTAAAAAACTTTTAGTTGTGACTATCTGTATCGTACATCTATCCATATGTTTTATTTTTTTAACTTGTAGACTGTAGGGTTGGCATCTTGTATCTGAAACAAGGTTATTTGCTAAATTATGTATTGTAATAAGTTTTGTTTTCTAAACCATTTATTGTAGTATCTTCTAAATTTTATTAAACACAAGCCTCTCAAGAATCAGTGGTTATAATTTAGTAGTGAAATAAGTCATTTAAAATGTAGGGGGGCAATACTTATACCCAAATTTGTATTTATTTCATTTGTAGTAGGAGAAAGTCAGTCTCAGTTTGACTACCACTGACAGCATTGTTTCATATTTAGAAAAATAAATGTCTTTCACAAAAAACAGCCCTATTCATTATGAAATCATTTGTATTTGTGTGTATGTATGAAATTGTTTTCTCAAAAACAATTTGTCAAATACACAAATGTCATTAAAGACACAGATGAACAGTGAAGTACAGTTTTGTAGGTGAATCCAGTTTAGCAATGCAACCCTCAGAAAACTGCATCCCATATTAAAATGCTACTATGATACAACCAGAAATTGTAGATTACATCTCCAGTACTTAGTGACTTTACCACCATCAAGCAGCAGACTTCAAATTTTCAGTTGGCACATAGGGTGGAAATTTGATTTTTAGAGGATATTATTTCCAAAATAAAGAGCATTTACTTGTGTGGACCTCTGTTTAAAGTCTTTAGGGGATAAATGTCATACATTGTGTTTCAGTTGCCTTTCAGGTGAATTTCATTGTGTTCCGTTTTTGTGCGCCATTGTCTAGCATTCCACAATTAGCTGCAGAGTATGTTATCGAAGCACAAAATTTAAATTCAGATTGCAATCTGGTCTGATGATGGCTTTATCATATCGCTGTGTTCCCTGTGGCTTTCTTTGACCTGTTATGACTCCCCTAATTTGCAAACAATTGTAAATTCACTTTTATCACACAGTACAGATTTCCTGTTTAAGAATCTTGTCGTCTTGTAGAAGGTTACCCAGAATTAACAACTACATAGAGACCTAGCAATAGTAGTATTATGTAGGTAATGTTTATACATAAGCACTTTATCTTTAAAGGATTGCAATGAGTGGATCCTGACCTGGCTGGCACAAGGCAGGACCACACCTTGAACAGGATGCCAACCTTTAACAGACTACACACTTACACACAGACTCATACATACAGGGGAGGCAATTTTGAGATGGCAGTTACTGTGAGACTGTAGGAGGAAACCAGAATATGCAGAGAAAACTCAAGTGGACCCCAGGTCACAGTCGAACCAAGACCCAAGAGCTATGAGGCAGCAGTGATAACTACCACGTCACTGTACTTCCCAACTATACAGTATATGTGAATAAGGAAATGTGAAACCTTATTCTGGCTTTTCTTGTATAATTGATATTCTAGGCTTACTTGGTCTGCTTTTTAAAGATGAAATCAAAAATGAAAACCATTGGCCGTCATCTGACTTGGATCACTAATAGTGTGTCACAGACACAGTCACCTGTGAACAATAACACCTGAGGAAAACCATTACAGTATCTTTCTGTGCTTCTGAACCAGAAAACAATGTGCTGTACAGGTACAGGTGAGCCCTAATTCAAAGACCTCTTTGAGGTTTTTTTCAGCAATCCAGAAGAAAAGGTTTTTAGACTCTCCTGTGCAGTCATCCTCAGTCAGGTGCCAATTGGAAAGGTCGAGCCAGACAGAATCACTTAACCCAGCCTCATTCCAAAAGAGCACGCATGTCATTTGCCTCATACTCTGCCTGTTCCCTGATCATCAGAAATCCTGTTTTGGAAAGCGGCTTTTTCCTTGGTAAAAGCAAAGGACCTGAGAGTTGTTGTCTAAGCAGTGAATTCTGACTACCATGCTTCTAATCCTGTTATCTGAAGCTATAAAGCTGGCACCCTTGTGACTCAGACAGAATAAATTTAAGCAGTTTTTTTTCTTCATATGTCCCTTGTTTAACTTTCTTTGGAAGCAGTAGGAGCAGTGTAGTCTTGGCATAGCCGAATGTGCTGGAATTATTAAGTCATACTGTACATCTGTCTTACCTTCACACAGTGGGAATAGCAGACCACATCCATTTTTCCATCTGTTTTACTGCTTTATATACTTTCTGATTTACTGGCTATGTTTCCAAATATTGCCATTTTAATTGCACAAATGATGTTGTTGTTTCAAGTGCAGACACTAGCATTCAGTGTGTTCATGGACATCTCAAATGATTGCGTCTCATATAATTACTCAAATTAAGGTAATGTTTGCCTCATTATAAGATGCCTCAGAAACCTTCATTCTAATCTCTCAATGAGTATTTTGATTAAGTAAATAGACACCCATTGTTTGCAAAGAATACATTGTGGTTCCTTTGCTGGACATTTAATAGACAGGACTGGCAAAGTACAATCTGGGTTAATTCTTGAGGGTAGTGCTCAGTGGTGTACTGTCAGAGGGCATTGGCAAGACCGTCATCTGACGTGTGTTTGGGCAGAAACTGTATGTTAGAACCCCCAGACTTCAGTTTACCAAGAGGCTTTTAGAGAAATTGGTCAAAAACCTTTCTCCTTAGAGATTAATGGCTTCTTGTGCCATGTCTTACAAGGTTTCACTGCTATGTGCCACAGAGAAAACTCAGTTAAGTGTAATAAATCAAAATAAAATTATGGCAAAGCATAGAAAAGTTTCGCTACAGTGCATTAAATTGTGATAGAAGCCACAGGAAACTACGACGAATGTGAAACAGAAGTGTGTGAAACTCTTGGGAAAACAGTGAAATTACCAAGCATTTATCTTTAGTAAGCCTTCAAACGGGATTGTGGAGTTGTGGCCCTGACACACAATTTGACATGTATTACTATTTTCTTAGTTCAAGGCAATTTACTGTCTATATTGATAGAGATTGACTGGCAGATCACAACTTTGCATCCAAAATGCCTAAGTAGTCTATGATATAAGACGTAGAACATTAGTCATTCTTTGACTAATCAAATGACAGTATATCACATTACAGTCGGAAAAAATATGGACCTTAATCTTAACTGTTGTATTAGCTTGCCACCTAATAAAATTAACCGTATTTAAGCACTTAAAGCACATTGTAATACACTGAGGCTGTGCCACAAGCCTGAATTTTATGCTTCCTCCTTAAATTGTCTAAGATTGCTAATTTGAAAAGAAAGAAACATATTAACCACACATTGGTATTCACATCCCCAGTTATTCATAATAGGATAATTGACAGTCTCCTCTGTTTTCCGATTACTGGCAGCCAGAATGGATCTGTGAATAGGTCATGAATTAGTCCTAAGTCTGTGAGCATCAATTTGCAATGCTAATGGTATTATTGGTACAAAGGAATAATTGTGTGGTGGAAGAATCTGAATTAAATATTACATTGTGGCCTGCAATAAAAAAAAAATCATATTTTCCAACAGTGTTTAATAGAAGGATTCCTAACAAAAGGTTTAATGTGATTGAAAGTTTATTGTCTCTGTGCCACTGACTGTCTAAACCAGGGATTGGCTGGCTCAGTCCTCTGGTTTCATTGCTTCTCTGATCTTAATGACTTTATTGAACAATTATTTGGATAAGAAGATGAATCCCTCGTTTTTCTTAGGTCTCAATCTGTTAATTGAAAAGCATCTGTAAGACCTAAAGGTCTTCCTCCCTTGAGGATCACTGCTGCTCTTCCTTGCCCTGCACCTTTTCAGGGGAATCAATGACCGTAGTGTTTAATTAATTCAAGAGTTTGCAGACTTGGTGAGCTAGGTCAGTCATTGATACCACGGCCTTTCAGATCAAGTGAATGCCAGAGAAAAATCTAAAATGTGAAGTCTTTCTTTTTCAGATTATTCAATCACTGTAAATAAACTGTTGTTGGGCATTAATACTGAGCATCCCATCTGCTCCTCCAGTAGCTTTCTTGTGCAATTGAAATCCCATCTTATTGTCCCGAAAGACAGAATGCCCACAATCAAATCTAGATTGAGAGTAATTATATTATTTAAGAAACGTAGAGATTCCTAATAAGTAATTAACAGGTTCCTTACTATATTAATTGAAATCAGCCTGCCCCAAACACGTTAAAAGGAGCATAAAATTGAATCATTGAATCAAGAACAAAGATTAGCAAATTCCTCATTCCAACAAAATTAGACCCCTGTTCAAGTGCTTCCACATTCTCATGGGAACATCTAACTAAGCATATAGCAATTATCAAAGCACGCTTCACTGTTTAAGCTCATGTTGTTTATTCATATTTTTTTACTTTGCAAGAATGCTGAATTTCCAAGGAGGCGAACACATTCACCTTGGTAACTTCTGAATAAAATTAATAATAATACCGTTTGCTAACACCTTTCAAAAAAAACTCACAGAACGCATGAAATGCCCTCAGTAGACTGGAGAGATCATTAGTATCGTTTTATTTTTGTATTGCCAAAAGAGAAGAACTTCTGGTCCTGCTTAAAACTATAGGCTGCAAATTTCCAATAAATTGTAACTTAATGCCACAGGGTTGTTACTTAGATACCCTTATGTGCTCCCTCAGAATCCCAATCAAGATCACATGCAAAACACTACATTTTAAGAAGGTTTACTGTAGTGATTGTATAATTATTTTACCTTGAAAGAGGTTAACCATTTTGTCAACATCCTGGCCTTTCTAAATCCACCCATTTAGGACATTGTTGGTGAAAGTAAGGAACATCCCTATCCAGTAACCCACTCTGCTGCCCCAGTTTGATAAGAGATGATATTGATTAAATGACGATCATCATGAACACTGACTGTATGATTGAAATTATTTTGATGTCTGATAAAATGAATGATCACAGAAAAAGCGACATTTAACGGCACTGAAATGTCCATTCTGTTAATGTTAGATATTCCAAATAATACCTTCCTTTCCTGAAGTGGAACTGTTTGGTTTGCACGCAAATGAAATTTCTTAGAGATTCATGACACAGCAGTAACCACTGCAGCGTGAAGCTCAATGTTATAGCTTGTGAATGGTTTTCCCCGCGAAACCCTAAGCGCACAGTTTAACTCTTCTGTTTCTGTGTTGGTTGCAGGAGGTGATGCAGCTGGAGAAGCAGCTGGGCGGACGACTTATTGATGAACCTCAAGTCCTTCTCTTCAAAGACAGTTACCACAACTTGCGTCTCTCCATCCACGACATGCCCAGGGCACACTGGAGAAGCAAGCTCCTTGCCGGGTACCAGGTATGTTACCCTTCCTGCCCCTACTGCCCCTATTCAACCCCTGTTGCTCCAGGGCCCCGAACACACACAGCCCACTCCCTTGACACTGTAGAACTCAGCCACGACAAAATGCTGCATGTCTGCCAGGGTATGACACTAGATTTCACAGGGGGGTGGTTGAAAGAAAGGGAACACAAGCCTGTTACATTAGCAGCTCTCGTTAAGAAGATATGTCTCTTTGGATCATAATGAGATGATCACATGCTGAAAGAATTTGGAGATAACAAATTCTGAATGCGTAGCAGAGTGAAAAATGTTTTTTTGTAAGTGCTATTGGGCAGTAAACACAAGTCTCCATTTAATTTCTGCGGGTTAGGTTAAGTGATTTAAATGGAAGAAGCAGAATTTAGATGTGCCCTAGATGTGCTATGTTCAAAAAGTGAACAAAGCACAAAGGCAGCATAAATATATAGATAAGAACATTTATTTCTGATGTAGGAGTTAAAGCAAACATTAATTGCAAAACAACCCTTCCCTTCCAGGGTCTATATACCTGGAGTTTACAGTACATTATGAAGATAACTGAGAGGGGGAAACCTGGCTTTCTACTTAGAAGTGTTTTTCATGTCTTTTTCTGAATTGTAATTCAAAAGTGATCCTATTCACACAAAATAGGAAAGACCTTGGAGTACTGGAAATTTCTATCTTGGCAAGGTTTATTTTTTACACAGGTAACAGTTAAGGTCTATAATGTATGTTTTTCTTTTTTTTTTTGTACTGCTTGAATGATCCATATAAAAAAAAATCAGATTGTGTTTGAGGAGGTAGGCATTATATTTGCTTAATAGCATTCCTGGCCTTGGTTCTATGCTTCTATTGCCTTGAACTCAAGAGAAAATTGTATGTGACCTGAAGCTTAATATAGAACATGAAACAATTATTCTGGTAGTGTCGCTCTTAAAATGTAGAGAAACATTTTTGGTTTTTAAAAGGAGAAAGCTGACATTTCTGAGTTTTATTACTGCCCATTAGATACATGCAAATTAAAGTGACTTGGATAGGAAAGGAAACGTGCAGAACAAAGCCTTCTAATCCGTACGTCAAGCCCTGTCCCATAAAATCAAGCTGCTTTTTTGCGTAAACTTATGAAATGCCTAATGCTAGTGCAGTAACCTATTCTTAGCAAGAGCAATCAGCACATTCTGTAGAAATGCCTTTGATTCCATTGAAAGTGTTATTTTTTCTTCTGGCACTGTGCACAAGCATCGCTTATCTTAAAGCTGCAAATTTACTCGTTGTGCTCAAGCTGAGTCCTGCTGACAAGGACAATAGCTCCCCCTGTTGATCCTCTGCATGGTCTCGCATAAGCTTTCAACTTTATTTGTTCTTCAGTCTGTTTTGGTTGTTAAATAAAGTATCATATGCAGACATTTGGATATGTTTTGCTGGATGATAATGAAGTTATCCATTCTCCCCAACTGACCTGGGAGGTGTTTTCTCATTCTCTTTAATAAAAAGAGGAACTTAGGCTTTTTTATTTGAAAATGCAAGGAATGTGAGCAAGAAGGGGAATCAGATAGGAATGTTACCATAATTGCTTCAATCTGTTGTTGAGTATTTGGCTGAAAGAATCACCCTTGAATGAGGAAGGCAAGAGACCTTTCCACTGTGGGAAAAGTAAAGCTGAAGTGTCCATCTTGGAACAGTTTGCCTAGATGCTAGTGAGAAATAAGAAATTGTGTCTCTTCAATTTTCTTGTGCATGAATCTCATGTGTTATAAGCATATTTGGCACTATTGTGTCTCAGAGTAAAAGACATAAATGCAGCAAATTTCTCACATTTTGATGTAAATGCATTTTTGCTCTGGCTGCATGACATTCACAAGATGTTCTGAAAGCCTGCCAGAAAACAGCAAAACATCATAACATGGCAAGTGTCACTTGATCTATGCAAATCTATGCAAGTGATTAATTTAACCCTGTAGAAATGAAAGGAACCTGCCCTTAACTAATCAGTCAACTGTCATTGTACTTTTCAACCTTGCACTCAAGTGTTTACTCCCAAATCTGCATCTTTTCAGCTTTCATCAAGCCTTTTTGTCATCTTGGAGGTAATCGCTTCACTCAGTGGTGTCGGGTCTCTTTCAACACTTCAAAACAATAGTACTAATGATCACTGTCTCATTCTCACTTACTAATAAAACTAGCGTAGACTTAATGGAAAAACCTGTATGACACTCGGCGTGTCATAATGCCTCACTCAGTGAAGAGTTTCTGTAATTAAAGATGATTTGAGCTGAGTGTCTCATTCCTAACAAAGGACACAAGTGCTGACCTTAATCTCTAAATTTAGTGTAATTTGCATCATTCCAATCCAAGTTAGTGCAGGTGGGTAAAGTTGGAAAACATGAAATATGCATCATATCTTTACTCCCTCTGAAGATGACATTCTCCATTTCTTATTGCTAAAGGGCCAACAGCTCTCGTACCTGTTATCAACGTCTGGGGCTTGGAAGCAGACAGGTGCCCCAAAAAATGAGAAATTACTTAGAATTCTGTATCTTTATCTTTGAATATTTGAGCCTCATTCCAGTGAATTAGCAATTCCCAATTTAAATGTAAAATATGAAATACAAATCTGACATTTGGGTAGAACATTTTAAAACAATAATTCCCTTCGATGTCTGTAGTGTATAGTGTGGATTGCAGTTGTGCTAACTGTTCCCAATGATCAGGCTTTTTGAGACAATAAACATTTCTCTCAGGTTTCCCCTCACACTATTCCTTTACCCCATTTCCCTGTAAGTTATGATAGAGCACTCCTGGTGCACAAAAACAATCCCCTGGAACAGTTTTATTTCTTGCAAGACACTATGGATTACTAATGTCCAACCAGCAAACGTCATGTGCAGTGTCCGCATGGAGAACCCTTGATCTGAAGCTGCAGTGGATGGTGCTTCAGGCTGTGTCTAAGTTCTACCTCATGCGTTTCTTCTGAAGGAAATCCCCTTCTATCACATCTGGAATGGCTTCCAGAGAAGCTTGCACTGCACCTTCACCCTGGAGCGACTCAGCCTCAACACGTGCGACCTGATGTGTCGGCTCTGCGTGTGGCAGGTGGAGGGGGAGGGGCAGAGCTTCAGCATTGACTTCAACGTCGCCAAGGTAACGGAGGGATGCGGATGCCTGCTTGAAGGCGTTTCCGTTTCTTTTCGAACGGATGCCTGAAGTCCGTTCGAGTTCTAACCTGTACGATTAAATCAGCATGACGTGTACTCACACGACAAGGACGTAGTGAAACCGGAGTCTTTTTATGAGAGGACAAGGGTATTTGTTTTTTTTCTTCCAAGCCCAAATTGGACACAGCAAAACCCCACATGAGGTGTTCCATGAAAGAGCAGACTTTAAAGACATCCACAAAAAATATACAGTTGTTGTATTTGGTTGTATAAAAAGGACTCTGACATAATTTCTGAAAATAGAAACAATAAGACATCATGTAGAGCTCAGTGACTGCGATCCCTGTGTTAGTAATAGGGTTTAGGCCAGATAATCTCTCTGTTAAAACTCCCAGATTCTCGTTCTAGTGCAAACGGCAATAGCTTATTCTTTCTTGATGCTCCACTGGTGATGTAATTAAATCCTAGACATGACAAAACAGATATAAATGCTGTGAGGTTGCAAAGTGTAGGATTTCAATAAATCACCACTGGTGCATTAAGGAGAATGTGGAGAGAATTATCGTGTTTAACTTTTTTTTCCATTTCGCCAACGCCAGATACCTTTCAGCATGTAATGGCTTACAGCTGAGAGAAAATCCAACCAGTGGAACAGCGGCTATAAAAATAGGTGTCGGCACAATTATGAATGATGCTTCAGAAAAACTGCCAGTTTGCTGCAGTCAGAAATTTAAAAAAGAGGCTGAATCCACACAAGGTGATGTCCCCTGTACCAATGTAAGGTGGACTAAGATTTGCACACAAAAAAACAATGTTCTATTTTTGCAAATTGACTGAGGTGATAACATCTTTTTCCTTATGCCTGCTTGTTTTTACAAACAATAATTTCCACTATATAAAATGTCCTTGATTGGAACCCTTAAACTACAATTCCTTATGTCAGCATAGTCAGTGTGCTTCATGCTAAAAATATTTCACTTTTGCATGTATGGGATTACATTATATCATCATCTCAGTCCACCCCAGGATATCTGAAAGAGTAGGATGTGCTGTTTCTGCTTCCAATGAAATGTAACTCGTGAAGCACCGTGAGTGCTGAGTACTGCTGTGCTATGTAATTTGTCTCCCCCAAAAAATAGCAAAATAAAAATACCTTCCATTAAGAGAGTGGCTTATTGGGGTTCTAAAACATTGACTGCTTTATAGTATGAGAGCCCAGACATGTTCTGTTTAAAAAGTCGATGGTTATTTACTGCTATCGAGTCATTACTAAGTAATTACATTGTTATTACTCAGCACGGACACCATTCACTCACATCAAAGGTGAAACTGTACAATTTAAGATTGTTTTTCTGCGCAGTATAAATCGCCCACAGACATTTTAAAGGTTCTGTTAGCATTAGCTTGCGTCAGAATTGTAGCTGCCAGCCCCCAACTTTGACCTGGATTCAATTTTCTTTATTTTGATCTGGCTTCCAGCTGGAAATAGTTTGGAAATTGCAGGTTTCCTTAGCTAGAGGAGAAATAAATGTATCTAAAATATATTTTGGTGTTGATTGATGGGCGGTAGACAGAAGTGATAGATCTAATTATATAATGAATATAGAGATAAAAGATATACTGAATACAGATAAGTGGATGTGATATCATAATTCGATTAATAGGAAATGTAATACCGTTTCTGAAGATCTCATCATTTCACACTGGAAGTATGATGAAAGCTGCTGTCTAGCTGCCTCTCCTCACCTCAGGCATCCTGCTGCTTCAACGAGTGGGCTGATGAAACTGTCCTTCAGTTGCTGTCACTGTCCTAGCTGATACAGCTCAGCTACAACCTCGCCCGGTGTCTGCCGGGGGTGGTTTGCTTTGGATAGCGTTTTTTTTTTCCCCCTCCAAAAGCCAAACAGCCTTTGATTGACGGCAACAGTTTTCTTCCCCAAAATGAGCTTTATCCAGATACAAGCCTCCTTCGGCTGTGTGTCTGTGCCAATCAATAACACAGCACTGCGGAATTCCGATTTCCTGCTTTCCCCCAGCTTCATTAGTAAAAAAGCTATTTAACCTTCTGGTCTTTTAGTCTCTGTACTTATTTATTTTACATCTAAGATTGGAAAATTAATATCCTCCAGGGTTTAAAAATGAATAATTAACTTCTTTTTCCTTGTCCTGTTATTTCCTACATTGTCAGTCCTCTGATTTACTGCTTTACTGTGACTCTGTTGCAGTAAACGGTGAATTTTGCAGTGTTACTGCAGGGTTCCTGGGTTACTGCACGTCCATTTGACTGTTACAAGACTGCACAAAACAGCAACACCTGAGATTTGTTACACGGCCACTTAGTTGCGACCTCTTCTGAAATGGACTTTTTAAAGAAATGTGGCAGGGGTATTCCCAGCATGGTGTATTTTTAATTTAAAATATCAGATACCAAAACCTTGCGGAAATTTTCAGGAGGAAGAGTTGATGTGGTAGAGTAGGTGGCCTGTAAAAATCAAATTTTCAAATATTTAAAAAAATACACTGTACAGGATACTAGTAAATTGTCATGCCTGTCCCTAAGGACTGATTGTGCCTAACTGTAATTCTTGCCTTTTTGTAACAGTTGAAGTTTAACTATCCAGGACTGAGCGCTCGTAATAAAGTCATACAAAAGGGCATATATACGTTCTTAGCCTGCTTTTTCATCTTTCTCTCCCTCTCTGAATCTCTACGTCTACAGGACAGCAGGCCCGTGGACGCTGACCTCCTTGGTTTGGACAATAGCGCTCCTGCCCTTGCCGGCCCCAGTGCATTTCAAATCCCTTACCTGATCCGACAGAAGATCTGCAGCAGTCTGGATGCCCCCTGCCCACATGGAGCCGATTGGCGATTGCTGGCACAGAGGCTCCAGCTTGACAGGTACAGATCAGCCATCCAACTGCTTCACATGGGTTTTGAGTGCCTCCCAGTGTACTGTTGGGGAAAAAAGAGTGGCTCCACGCTTCTTATCCATCAGTTTCATTTTAAAATCCCTTAAAACTATCAGATGCAAACCTAAACCCATTGCAGTCTGTTGCTTCTTACTGTAAGAGTTCACTTCTTACATACTGTAAGAAGACAGTGTTGAGAATGCAGTTGTGTATAATATGTGGCAGCAATGTTACTACCTTGTAGCCTGAAGTGTTTGGATCTGAGAAACAAAGTGCAGCTTGGCCAGGTCAATACTCTGATAGGAGATGTTGTTAGTTTTGATGAACAGTAGGAGACCCTCTTCATTTTTGGACCAGAATTTCCATTCCAGTGTTCCAGTAAGGAGACTGGAGACACTCTGCTGTAGCAGGTACCATCCATCACATGAAATGTGATCTGAGGTCTTGACTACCTTGGTTATATCCAAGGTACCTGTAGGCACTGTTTGTAACAGTAGGGGTGTTATCCCTCCATGTCTTGGCTAAATTCCAATGTTGGTAGAAAATCTAAAACCTTCAGAATTTTTTCTCTTAATGTAAATGATGAATTATTACTTGGTAAATTTCTCCCTTCTCCACCTGATCTTCTGTGTACTGAGGCTGCTGGTGCAAAATGGTCACCATATCTCAACCTGGTGTTAGTTGTGGGATTCTTTAACCCAGAAAGGAAAAATGCAAGTGAATTATTATTATTATTATTTTAAGAATTTCAGAATAAAAAGAAGATAACTGATTTGTGAGATGTGAGCAATGATATTGTGATAAGTTTAATCAAAAAAAGAGTCAGAAATGTAAATGTGGTAACCCAAAAACAGTACGCAGTTGGTTAAATGCGTTTCTTGGAAAAATAAAAAGTTTGTTACTTATGCGTCGCGTAGTGTATCAAGAGTTAGTGGATATGCCGACAGGTAGCTGTAAGATTCCCATTATGCTCCAGTTAAATCCTATTTCTGGTTTTGCTGAAGGCCTTACTACATGTTTCTAAGCTTGTGGCCTCCAAAACATATCTTCTTAAGTACAGAGGTCTGGATAATTAGGCTTGTGAAGGATTAAACAGTTCTGCTGTGGGAGTACTATCAGCAAAGCCCTGATGTTCCAGCTAGAGATATGACATTTAAAGACCTTCTCAGCCTACATTTCATTGCTTTAGATTTGAACCACATTACTTTTCAGATTAAAAAAAATGTTCCTGCATGTGTAATCAGATGTACATTGTCTATCTTGTCTCCTGTTTCACATTACACAAATGCAGTATTTACAGGGTGGTTACAGTTCTTTTCACCCTGTATGACGTTGCATTTCTAGACCACCACAGCTGGGAAATGTGATTAAAATGATCCAAAGACATAAGTAAACTAAGGTCAAGAACTTTCTTGTGCCGCATCAAGCATGCCGCTCTTTAAAGGGGTGGGACAAGCAGTTTCCTTTTTCTTGGTAGTCTACAGCACTCTGTATTCACTATGCTGATCAGATTTGCTTGTGAAAGCCCCTCCATCCCTCACATGCTCTGTTTTAAAGAAATAAGGTATTAAAATATTTTAAAAATCGAAACCAGTAAAGAGTGTGCCCTGAATATTTTCTTCAAAAGCATCCACGATGCTTGCTGTATGAGGAAGAAACAGTAAGGTGAGGATGTACAACGTGAAGGTGATAAATAAGAAAGATGAGATATGGTGCCTGACTCTTCCCTGCCAATGTGTAAAATCTAAAAGAAAATGCCCTCAGAGTGCTTTAGACTCCAGTAGAGGATCCAGATTTGCCAAGCAGCAGGGCAGATTTAGTGTTGTTTGAGTGCTTAGTTTTAGAGTTATCTTGTGGGGTTGCCAGGCTTGGAGCTGCTGAGAATGTAATGGAATAACTGTGTTGAGTCCCCCCCCCCCCCCACAGTAAATACAGCATGTTTGTAAAAGAGGGAAAAGTTCATTCATTTTTCTTTTGTGTAAATAAAACACAAATTCTGGCTAGTCTGACTTTTTTCCATTTTATTTTTTCGTACTGAAGCAAAGTCAGAGCAAATCGCATTGAAACAATGAAAGAGCTTTAGACATTTTATGAACAGGAAAAGGCCATTAGATCCAACAGACCTCGCTAGTCCTGGTTCAGTGATGTCAGAAAGTATCTCTTAAGATACCAGGGAGTTTCATTTCCAAAGCATCAAATGAGCTGCTGGCTGGGGTCACTGTTTTATTGATATCGATCAGGTGTGTGTTCAAAAGATCTAAGCTAGCAATATAAAAAGGTTCCAGTGTACCTGAATATCATGGCAGATGAATCAAATTGGTGCATCATTTAGAAGCAGTCATTTGTCCTGTTCCCCAAGCCCTTGTCTTCTCATTTTCAGGTTTTTCTTTTGTTTAATTTTAATAGTATGTTATGTTCTCTAACATATGGGATACAAAGCGTGCAAGGCAGCTAGACCCCGACTCTCTTTTTTTAATTGTCAATTATGTTCTTCAGTACCTTAACATTCCTTCTAATGACATCCGCAGGATATGTCAGAATCATTTTTTGTAAATTTCAGTGCATTAGGATGCTAATGCAGTCTAGCTGTCGAGAGGGACACAAACAAAATTTGCAATGAAAGCACCACCGAGGCCTTGGAGTAACACCATATTGACTTCAGACTGGGAATTCACGATAATGGTCTTTTAAAAGCGTCTAACTTGTTGTTTTTTCTCTGCCTCACAGGCACCTCAGCTTCTTTGCGTCAAAAGCAAGTCCAACATCAGTGATCCTGGACCTGTGGGAGGCTCAGCACTTCCACAGTGGGAACCTGAACCAGTTGGCAGCTGTGATGGCACAGATAGGCAAGCAGGAGGCCATGATCTTTCTGGTGACGGATGGAGAGTGTTAATTTTTATATAAGACACCCGGAGAGATTAAGCCTGGGCTTTGTGTCTTTTGCCTGGGTTTGGGGGCAGAGGGAGAAAGTTCCTACCATCCTGGCAAGCAGAGGACAGGGCCTATCTCCTGTAAGAACCGAATCCAGCCTAAAACCCACACGATTCAAAACAGCACCACCAAGCCTCACAATGTAGACTGTGTTGTTAATTAAGCATGATCATCCCTTGGAACAATATGCGACTTTTTTTCCATTTGCTTTAAACCTAAGGAATTAACACACAAATTCAAGATAAATTTCACACAGCAGGAAGATTTGTACACTTTTCACCAGAAAATGGAGCTTAGTTAACAATACTGAACAATAGTATCACCTGATCAAGAAGTAGATCTCTTGAGCATAATATCCATCTCTGTTAAGAACCACATGAAAGTGAAAGTAATGTTTTGCAGCGTGAGGAGTGGTTGAGTTGAGTTTTGCTTTCAGCAGAGGCATTTGTGTTGAGATTTCTAAAACCAATAGCCAGTGGCAGCCTCACTTTTTAATCTCAATGCCTTGAGGAGCTGTGAATCCTGCAAGATTCTGCAGCCTAACAACTCTGCTGTAAAGGATTTGTAATATGTTTGACTTCTCCCTTAGCTGTAGGTTCATTTTTTACTAAAATTAACAAATTTAAGCACCATTTTTAATATTTGAGTTTTGCAAAAAAAATAATTAGATATAGATATACATGGAAGGTATTTAATATTTATCGATTCTGTTTCTCTTCTTTCTTCCAATGTGAGGACAATGAGAGCCTGGCAACTCTCTGGAATTCTATAGGGAGTTGGCTTCAATTTGTTTGTAAAAAGCAATGATCTCTTGGAAAGAAATTGCTAAAACATTTAAATAGGAAGCTATGGCATCTCTCTGTAAATATCAGGAGGGTATTGACAAATCTCAGAATCCTTTTCCAAAAATCCAATACCTAGAATATAGTACCTGTTCTTCTCCCTCAGCCTCTGTCATGGAATTAATGCTTGATGGCAATCTAGTCTGTTCTCTAATGCCAGCATTTAGATTTAAATTTAATATTGTTGTTACTTTATCATCCATCTACTGCATTGTGCCTGGAACAAAAGACAAACAGTAATGTGCATAATTTGTTAAGTAGAGGCTATGGGTGGAAAAGAAAAGGGTTATGGATGTTTGCTAATGAAGCGATTCTAGTCGTATCCTTAAAAACAATGAATAGCAGCACAAAGCCTGAAACAGATCTGACAAAACATTCAGATGAAAAGCACTCGTCTTGTCATTATTTAATTTGAACAATGCTATGTTTCTTTGTTGCAGCTGTTTTTATTTAATTAAATGACATTTAAGCAAATACATTAGTGGTAGAAAATATTAATTAAAACACAATGCAGGGAAATAATTACAAGCAGCTTTAGTGCCCTTGCTGTTGAATGGTGGTTATTTGAAGTAATGGTTTGCAGTCTGGCTGCCTGCCACCAGCAACCTGCCACTTTTTTCATTAATAATTCTGTGCAAACCTATAATCTCTTTCATGTGCTTCTTATGTCATTAGAAGTATAGCTAATCTTAGCCCATATGCTTTGCAATTATTTTATATAATGGGCTACTTTTGATTTGTACAGAAGATACATGAACTGCTGTCAAAGTATGTAAGATTTGTTTAATCTTTTACAAACCCGAAGGAAGGAAATTGTGTCTCTGCTGCAGCTAAACATTTCGGGGTCCTGTTTATAGTAACCTAGCTCTGCTTTTCCTGTTGGAGAAGGGCACATTAATGTTCTGTGCGCATCCGTATGAGTGTGAGCATACCCCTGAGATTCAATATTTTTCATCAGCCACCTCTGGAAAATACAAACTACAGTAAAATAGTAAAAACAGACTAAAAGCTTTGTATCTTAAGAATGTGCTGTTTGGGGAGGTTGTGTACGTTTTTCCAGCACCCTCCTTTTTTGATAACTACGCACACACATTCTCTCGGACAAAAGATACTCTACGATACTATAGGCTGAACTTCAATACTTCAACTTCAGCACTGTTAGGGCACACACTTTTGTAAGGGAACTTGCAAGAAAATGCACTGGGAATATTTGATTGAAGGTAACCATAGCCATCAGACCTCTATTTAAACAATCAGTGTTAAGTAATGAAACACCCACAGTCCTCTTGCAGGACCTCCGAGTCCATTTCCGCTTTAAATCCACGTTCTAAAAGATTAGTCCTTTACACTTTTAATAGATTGTGCCTTTTGTGTATGAGTTGAGAGAACTTATAAAGTAATGGCAGTGATGACACATTGGATATACTCAGCTGGACTGGATTGGATATTCAGTTTCTGTTGCTGCCACAATTATTCTAAGCCGCTTGTTAGTAGCTTAATACTGTACCACTACCACTGAATATCTTTCACATCTTCCCGAACAACAGAATCACTCTATGATAAAACATCAGCAGGCAGTAACTCCTACAGTAGATGGATGGGTAAACGAATTGCCAAAATTCTGTTTATCCTATCGAGTAAAAATGGGGTCAGAAGAGATCCGATGTCAGGGAAAAGAAGCTGTCTTGTTTTGACATATTCACTAACTTTCATGTGGCCAGACAGGGTATGGCCTCTGCTATGGAAAATTCTCTTGTTTGGCAGAGTCTGAAAGGTTTCTCTTTGAGAAGCTGTGTTGCCTACAGAGGCAACCGACAGCAAGCAGCTCTCTGCACTTTGTGTGCCATATGTGAGATTACTGTCCATCTGTGACGGCCTGAAAACAGCCCACAGCAGAGTGTTCATTTTTTTACTTCATTGAATGAGCTAGTATAATCTCTATTTTTATCCCAAACTTTCAGTAGGTTAAAGCATTCACTGATAGTGTGACTGGTGATGTATGATAAGCTTTAATTTAAAGCATTGGGAACAAAGGGAATTAAGTGGAAAAATGTACTATTTAAGGATTCAAAGCAAATGTTGGTATTGCAGCAATTTTGGATGCCAGTGAAGTTATAAAATGTAAAACAGATACTTTGTTTTTTACTTTTGATTTTTAAAGCTCGTACGCTATCTCTATTTCCCTCAAAGGACGTAGCAATGTTTTCTCTCTCCTTCTCTCTGAAAGCTGAAAAGGGTTAAGCACTACAGTCAATCACGAACAAAACTTTATGAAAATATTAAATTTTACATCTGCAGTCTTGAGCCAAATCCCTTAAAGCTAACACTCCTTTCTAGACCTATTTACATAATAGTAGGTTGTTTATTTCTGCATTATTGTTTGAATTTACTTGCATATAGGAGTAGTGGATTTCTTTTGGTCCAGCTGGGTTTCACAAGCCAAAAGAGGGAGAAAATTGTGTTGAAATGGTTGGAAATTGTAATTGTCTTAAAGCAAACATATCACTATGAATTATTTTACTATTTTATCTCTGTGTTGCTATTCTGTATTTTTAGTGATGAACAATTTCTTACCATTCTTACAGATTTTTAACGTGATTCTAAATTGTATTATGGACAGGAAAACTTATATCCACCCTGTTCTACAAATGCAACTGTTCCCTAATCTTATGGATTCATACCTTGTTCATATTTCATCTGAAAATTAATAAAAAGGAGCAGGATTCCAGCAGAAGTTTTTTTTGTTTAAATCATACCATATGTTTTGATTTATTTTTTGTTTTTAAATGCTATTTGTAAATCACAGCTCTCTAGTGTTGAAGAAAATCTTTTCTATCTTGTGAAAAAAAAATGCTGATGGTTTTGGAACTCTGTCAAAATAATCTTTGCAAGAGAAGGTACCAGATGCATCATTTTACAGACTTCTGCCAGAGCAGGGTTTAAGTAAGTCCTCTCTGCTCAAAGTTTGGTGTTGCCATTAATCATATTTGTAAAATTTAATTGCTGTGCATACGTATAAGCATTTTCTTTTAATGAGCTGTGTAAATAACAAAATGCTTTTTTAAAAAATAGAAGTATACTATCACAGTACATGTATGAGCAAAGTTGGTAACCAAAGTTTTATTATATATAACCTTTTCTAAACAAAAACATCTTATGACTAATTGCAGTTTCCAGTGATTCATTATACACTATTGTGGTCACCTCTACTATCTTTTCTAAAGTTTGTCTGTCATATAGTTATACTGTGTTTGTCATTTTCTAACAAATTAATAGGAATAACATTTTTAAATGATAAACACCACATGTGAATGATACATGGTAGTGTCTGTCATTGTTAGGCTAAAAAATAAGGATAATAAAATACAAATGACCATGCAATACAATAAAATAGTACTCCATGTATTACATTAAACTTTTTAATTTTGCAGTGGAGTACTTCAAAGCAAAGGATTTGTTTTAAATATCTGACAAATGTAACCTGAATAAATTATCTAGGTGTTTACTATAGGGAAACAAAGTCATGAAAAACGACAGTATATTCTAGTGATTGGAGCAAAATGTGTTTTCGTTGCATATTCAGTTGTGCATTAGTCTGAAATTTATTAGAAACATGTGCTCTGAAGACTAATTTATTCTGTTTCAGTGATTGACTGTTCTGTGTCAATCATTTGAATATTTAATCTCTATATGGAATATTTCAACATCTTTCAAATGTAGCATTCTACGGAGGTTATTTATTCATTTAAAGCAGAGATCTCTATTCCTGGTCTTGAAGGACTGGTTTGTCGGCATATTCTCTTTCCAACTCAACTCATTATTGGCTTAATTAGACAATTTAACAATTACTCCTACTGCTTCAGGAGCTGGTTCATCAAAGAGAGATGCAAAACCTGCAAAAAAGACCAATCCTCCAGGACCAGAACTGAAGACTCCTGATTTAGATATAGCAAAAAAAAAAAGGCTGTTTGACATTATTAATGTGAGATCACTCAGTGTTTTATTAAACACTATTAGTGAAGAAAAAATCTAAATGATTATATAATGGGTGTTCAAAGCCACTACCCTGTTTTATGACAAGAATGGCACGACAATAATTTTTTAACCAGATACCATTCCATATAAAGAACTTCTTCCATTTTCTCAGCTCTGCTAAGGAATCATTGGTGAGGTTTCATTTAGTTTGGTGAAAACACTGCAGGTCTGTATTAATTTGTGAGCTCATGACTGAAGCCCAAGGATTAAGCACTGCAAGTCTCCATAACACACACAAATGCACAACCAAATTAAGAAAACTCATTTCCATTATACCAAGCAATGTTATTTTCTTACCACTTAGATCTGCTGGATTTTCAATAACTGAAGAGAGCACTGAAACATGAAAAAGGAAGTGCTGAAACACATCTGTCTTGCTATTTCAGTAGGCTGTCTAAGAACCCCATACACCACTACCCCTAGAAAAACTGAAAAAGCAGTTAGCCTCAAAAGCAGTGGCTTGAAGGTTTAGACCGTGAAACCCTGTATTCAAACTACAGAATAATCAATGTGGATTCGTTACCAAAATTATCAGTATAAAGCATATTATTTCTTCATAAACACATACTGTATCCGATTTCCTCCTCTATCAGCCTGACGGCAAGGTAGCTAAATATTAAGGGGCAACTTGTCAGAGAAGCAGATACATTTCCTAAATGGAAAAAAACATTTTCCATCCTGTTTAAAAGCCAAGTATTTTTCAGTATGATAATTTTTAGTCTTGAACTCATTCATAGCAGTTCTGTGTAATGAATGTGAGATTTATTTTGTTCTGAAGAACTGAGAACAGATTTTTGGTATTTGTGAATGTTATTTCTTAATTCAAATGTTTATTTCCTTGCCTTTATGTAATTCAGAAATGCTGTATTTATGAAACGCCACAGCGCTTATGCAATTGTATAATTCTTTTTTATTATTGTTATAATTTTTCCTCTTCTGTCAATGTAAATTACATGTTGTCAAAAGTTTTGTGAAAGTCGAAAATCACCGGCTTAAGGAGGTTTTCTGTACTTTTTTGGACAATACTATGGATTTGTGGGTAGAATTTTGAAAATTCGTTTCTAAGTGCATTCAAGTATTTACTTGGCCTTATGTATATATATGAAATTTCTGAAAGGTATGTATAGTAATTCAAACTAAAATGGATGTAAATAAATTATATATTGTTAAAATGTGTTCCTTATTATTTACTTTGTTTTTTTTTTTATTTAGCTGCTTATGGATAGAAATCTTTCATCTGATTTTTCTAAAAACATCCATTTATCAGTCAGATCAGCATTCTTTAAGGAATTAAAATATCCACACTTTGAGCTTTAATTCTTGCTTTAATTCCAATTCTAATCTGAATTGCTTAATAACAAGATCAAGAGTAGAATTAATAGTTTAGGTCTTCCATCTGTTCTTAACACAGCCCTACAGGATTCTAGCTCTTAAGGACTGCCGTTGTCCAGCTCTGGTCCCTCCCTTCAACAAAGAACAGTAACCAGTAGAAAAAGCACAGGACTTGTTTTGTAATAAGGTAGAACCTCACCTATCCTAAAGGACCAGAGTGTCTACAAGTCTCTTTTACAGCACTAGCACCAGAAGAGATGAGAATTTGGTAAACTGGCCTAGTGAAGTCAGTAATGAGCTTAAGTTAACAGTTGAGCTGGAATTGAACCCCCTTAGCTTCACCAACCCTATAGGACCTGAGAACAGGACCAACCTTGTACAGAGTTGGGCAATTCTGTCTTAGAACATGAAGTTGCAGGAACTGAATCCTTCTACCATGTTACTGAAGTGATTAAGCATCAGTTAAGGATCAAGCCAAGGTGCTGAAGACCATTTAAATTAATTAGCAGGAAAGAAGACTTGCAAAGGTCTACCTCTGATCCCCATTCATAAAAGTGCTGCAACAACTCGAATTTTACATCCTGAATTGTAGAATCATTATTTTTTTTTACTATTGTTAAAAAAAAGGGAGACTAATACAAATTGGAATATTCTAAAGAACTGTTGTGTAACTAAAATAACATTGTAAAGTAATGCAATTATTCTAGCATTTTATATACACATTTGATCTACTGCTGTTCATCACTAGATGTAAGGGATCAGTCTAAAAATAAAATCTGATTTTCTTGAACCAATCCATGACAATAACAGTTCATAGTATGAAAAAATAGAAACTGAAGACAAACCATAGATAGGGCACCATTCAATTCTAAAATTCACACACACACACACACACACACACACACAGAAGAACAAGGTGTGCAGAAAAATGAAAGTTGTAACTCGTATAATGCAAAAGGCATCTAGTTGTTAAAGATTCAGATGACATCACTAAAGAATTTCTTTAAGTAAGAAATTGCAGTCACATCCACATCATTGAGAAGAGTTGCACAGCTTTCTGTCCTGAGCTCATACAGCCTAGATTTCAGGTTTCATCCCCATCCTTCAGAAATATCGCTACAACGTGGTCCACAAAGTAACCAGGCAGAGTTTACATTTTGCGTGGGTCAATCATCTAGCATCAGTTTTGATGTCTTCCTTCTCTTCCCTTGATCAATAATTGTCCAATTGTCTTCAGCACATTTTGTTTTTCAGTTTTAACAGAACAATCTAACAATGCCAACAGACAACACTTGTGTAACAAATACACAACCCTAAGTGTTAAAAAATGTATGCCTTGATTATGAAATCTTTGCAAGATGAATAGGAAAGAAAAGGGCAACTTGTACATTAATGCAACAAATTTATTGTCAACATTCAAAAGATAACTTTTTCACAAATGTCTCCTATTTCTATTAGAATTTTCAAGCTTGTATATTATGAGAATACAGTAGTTTTTTTTAAGACTTAAAAAAAAAAATTAAACTAGCAAGGTTTAAGGAAAAGATACATATAACAACCAAGACAAAAGAATAAAACAATGAAACAAACTAAAGACCCTGTTCAGGGAATATAATCCTAACCAAAAGAACCATCAGGATCTATTCTTTGGTGCTCAGTAGAATTGTGCTGTGGACTTCAGTGCTCAGGGAACTTGTAATTACTGGATTTGGTTTTGTGAAGCCTGCTGGTTTTCCTACATTTGAGCAGATGGGGCATACAGTACAGATCATAATACTAAAAAACAAAATGGAAATCTTAATAGCAATACTCAAAGATAAGCTTAAATTGGCAATTGTGTACACATGGTGTTGAGTGCCCAGTAACTATACAAGTGTATAAAATTGTGATGATGGTGCAGGAAATCATGGAGTGTATGCTTACTATTATATCTGATTTCGATGTGTACTGCCCACACTTGGAATTAAAAATAAAACAAAGATATTCAGCTCTGGTAAACAACTTAAAATTCCATATGTCCTCAATACAAAAAAATGTGTCGATCATATTTATTTTAGTAACTAAACAAGTAGAGCCCATGTTGCTAAATTTTCTGGGTAACATTAATTTGCATTCCTACCCAAACGGGTTCTTCACAAAAGCATAATCATATTTGGTGATGTCTGGCAATTTAAGCATATTTCAATACAAGTTAGGTTCCTGTTACAACAGCACACTGTATTAACCTCTGGACATTCATTGTAAAGCAAGGCTAGGTTTTATGACAACCATACCACATGCTTATAAAAATCTCTTTAATATTTTTATCAGAAGTGCATGTATAAACTTCTGAATTATACTTGCACATAATTTATTTTCATCCACTGGTTCCATGGGAGTCATGTGACATTTACTTTTCTGATGTACGTAATACAGCAGTGTGACACATTGTATTATTAAAGCTTTTCAGAGGCAAAAGGGCTGTAATTAGGAAGAAAATACGAAAAAGAGCATCGGGCAAAATATGAAAGGGGTTCCAGATCACTCTTATAGCTTTACAGGAACAAAAGGTTTATTGTGTGCTGAAAAGAGAAGAAAATGAAAGAAAACACAATGTTTCGGCCGTGGAGCCTTCTTCACACTCCACGGCCGAAACGTGTTTTCTTTCTTCTCTTTTCAGCATGGAATACACCTATTACTTGTTCCTTAGCAGCCCACGCATGCTGATGCAGCTACCCACCTGAACTACTTATATCTTTACATATAAATGGCACTTTAAAAATGATTCATTAGTGAACTAATTTCACAGTCACATTACACGATTACAAATGCCTTGAAATTTGTTTCTAATATTTTGTAAAAAAAAAAATACTACAGCATCATAAAATCTACTTATTACAACTACTTATGCACAGTTTTTGTCAGATTAAGTTTGAAAATAATTTGATTCAAGAATTAGGATTGGGAGGGCTCCTGTGCTCTTATTAAGAATTGCTAAAAAAATATCCTCTTGGTCCAATTTCTTGCAGTTCTAGGCAGTAGAAATGAAGAGACATTTTGACACGAATAGGTAGAGCTTCAGTCCAGTTATTCTTCTCAAAGGTTCTTGTTTATTATGACTGCGTGATAATACAGAACTGAGAAATATATATATATATCCCCCCCCCCCAATGTAAAAATCTCTAAAAATGACTAAATCAAATCTGTTTAAAATTTAGAAATTGATTAAGTAGTGTCCCACAAAACCTGCTGGAATGGCACTCTCTAGGATCAGGGCTGGAGACCCCTGCTCTAGGGGAAAGGCTTTCTTGAGTGACAATAGAGAAAGAACATAAGGAACTTAATATTTTCTATTATTTACTACACATTTATATAATTTTCAAGCATTAGACAAACTATTTAAATCTGCATAGAGCTTTCATGATTCATTCTAGTCAAGCTCTTCTGCTTTGAACCACCTAGCGCTGACCTACATGAGTATTTTAATATTAAAACCTAGCAGAACTTTAAGTAAACAATAAATTCTGACTCCAGTACTGGAGATAGTCATCATTCATCAGAGATAAAATCCAGCCAACATCAGAATGAGCACTCTTAATACTTAAATATATTAGCAATTTGAACTAATGCACTTTTTTTGAGGATTGAACTCTTGAAAGATGTGCATCACAAATGCAGAAAGAGCAGAAAAGGATGACAGAAACTGGACATCCTTTATTTAACACTGCTGGCTGGAAACGGGGGTTAAAATGGATATATCCATTTTAAGGTTATTTATATTTAAGCATTCTTACTCATTTGCACACTAACCAAACATCTTTAAAAAAAAAAGGTTCCACGCAGAAGAAAATGGTCTTGAAGCTAGGTGTGATGTAATTCGACACCAACAAAATAGGCAGCATTTCATTTTTGCTTCTACTGTAAAAAAAATAATGACAAACAAAACAGATGTTGTACTTTACTGCTATACAATTATGAAGGTGAAAACTCAGCAGTATGTTAACCTTCAGTCTTGAGTGGTAGCTGAACATTGCACAAAAACTGTGCGCGATAAGTATCTGACTTTGATTCAATCCCAATCAAACAACCTGATTACAGCAAAGTTTGATCTAGCCTGGGATTTTTTAAAATAATCATACATCAAGCACCAATTACATTTTCCCTGATATAATTACTTTGCCTTTGAGCCTTTCATAGTTTAAGAGGATCTAGGTTTCAAATCAAGGGTGAAAAAAGTCCTTTTAGATAAGGGACGAATCTTAAAACTATAGAAAAAACATCTTACCACGCAGAAAATACCTTGAATAACTTTTCTCATGCAGTAGCTCTTGTTCTGCCTGTAAAGTGATTTTAACTAAAGTACAAGTGGCTGGTATTTATGGAGAATTATTAAAATTAAAATAATGATGCCATTCTTGAAATAGTATCATTACTATTTGGAAAGAGTATCCATGTTTCTACTCCAGTAATCTCTGCATGACAAGAGTGCAAAAACAATGCAGTCAGGATCAGGCAACAGGAGGTGAAAACTGCCCCTCTTGTTTCAATGGCAGTGTGGAGAAGAGAGAGTTGTTAGATGGGTTAAGATGATGGCACAGTCTTTTTCGGCATCTCATTTTGCTCCTGTGCCCGTCAGGTTTATTTACCACACAAACTGAAGAGATGCTTTAAACATGTGAGAAGGCATGGGTCTTGCAAAGGGGCTTGTCTTTCTTGGAGTAAAAAGTCTTCCCTTCCAAATTGATCTGGCATATCTGAGGCATCAAACAGAAGACAAAGAGATGGCAGATTAATGGAACAAATGCATAAAGAATGCCAAAACAAGGAAAGAAGCTTTGCAAATGTTTGCAGCAAGGTCATTCAGTTACTTTATTTTTAATCTGCACCTTTTTAAAAAATTAGGACCCCTTGCACTGAGAGCGCCTGTCCAGCAAAACAGTTGTTGATGAATCAAAATGACTTACTGCACAGACGAAGCAAGTGTCATGCCAGCTGTAACCAAGAGCCTCAAGAAAACGGTCTCCTGCATCAATCTTGAAGTCGCAACCATGACATTTAGTGCCAAACATCTTCTCGTAGTCTGTAAAGATAATAATTCATTCAAAAGCCTCCGCTATAATGCCAGAAGATACCTTATTACAAGAAAGTGTGACTGAGTCCCAAAAGACACAAAGAATGATAAATCTAACCATGTCAGAAAAAGTCAACTTAGATTAGAGAATCTGCCTACAAAATGCAGAGTCAGTGATACATTTTAAGGAAAAGCTAAATTGATACAAACAGTGAAGCTTAAATGTATGCCCGAGTTTCTCAATATTGTAACATGAAAAAGTCTTGGAATGTCTCTAGCACTTAAGGAGTGTGATTTACAATCTTTTCTTGTTAAAACTGCAATTTCAGGTGCTGAGCCTGCACTGTTCTCTTCAACAGAGTATCATAACTTACAAAAATTGCTGGGCTCATGTTTTTGTTTAAAAGCTAGAAAATAGGAATCTTCAGCAAAATGAAATTCAAATAAAAGGTTTTAGTAACATTTTAAAATGGCTAAATTCAATTCTGTCATTAGAGGTTAATGAAGATACTGGCAATCTGTCACACAACTTGGCCAGAGACATCAGATGGGAAAAATACAGGTACACAAGTAGTAACCAAACAGAACACAGACTTTATTTTGCCCAAGTGTTATGCGGGAGCAAAACACAAAACTTCATTACATCTTTTAAACTGTTAATCAAGCTAAGCTTTCCAGGCAGTCATGCAGTTAATGAAGAGATGTCCTTGAAAGAGTGTGGAGACGTCTTGTTTTCATCGCACCCAGGGAGGAAGCTTACCTTTCTCACAATATGGCTCTCCCTCCTCCATGTAGAAGGCTTTGTTCCTGATGGGAATCTTGCAAGCTGCACATATGAAGCAGTGCACATGCCAGGTCATCTTGAGGGCATGCATGATCTCCTGTATGACAGAGTGCACAAAGTGTACTGTACATTAAAACTTAATGAATAACAGCAGTGGACAAATCCAAGATTCTGTTCAGTCCAGCTGCAAGCACACGTAGCTCCAGGTTAACATTACATCTTATTGAAAAAGTTCATAACGGTATAGTTACTGCAACCTCATGCCGCTATTGCTAAAAAAAGAGCACCTCCTGACTTTAAGCACAACAACTTATAACCTCACCTCTAGGACGTTACATTAGACAGGTCAGAGGGTCATGATAAGGGTGTATCCAGTTAATAGCTGGCATGACATCTCCATCCATCATAACTGTGGTTAATAGAAAGTACTGGGCTTTCATGCTAATCTCAAAGTACTTAAATGCACTGACCAAAAATGATCATGACTGTAAGATTGATTAATTTAGCCGATTCCCTTATCCAAACTGCTGAACAAGGGATACATTTCCTAAAATGTTGTATATGTGCAAAAAACACCTTAAAGTTAAAATACGTCATTTATTCACTGAAAGAAAAAGTAGTACTAGTCTTCAATCGGATGGTACAATTAAAAAAAACACTCACACCAGTGATGATCTTCTTGCATTTGGCACAGTTGGGTGCGTAGCGACTATCGTAACACTTGGTGCATAAGATGGACCCCCTTTCCTCAAAGAAACCCCCCTCCTCCAGGACCACCTTACACTGGGAGCAGGTGAACTCTTCAGGGTGCCAGGAGCGACCAAGAGCCACCAGATACCGGCCCCTGTCAGACAGGAATAGGTATAGAGTCAGTGAAAAGGGAAAGAGGGGGGAAACAAATTCACCTCAGGAAGGAACTTCTAAAGCCGTACAGGTGAAGATGGATTGATTTCTCAATCAAAAAAAAAATCACCGTAATTCTCCAGCATCTAGTCCTTAAATGGTCCACATCAAAGGTATGATCCAGTGCTAAGACAAAGGTTATGTCATGCCTCTCAAGGAACTTTTGAAAGTGCAACCAGACAAAGAAAGCCTTGAATCTTAAATACTGGTGTACTACTCAATTTGTTTTCCATTTTATTAGGGTATTACTGCAAAAATAAAAATTGTCCAAACATATCATGAATATGAAATCAACATTAGTCTACACAAACAAATGCAACATGCATCTGCATCCTGCCACCTTGAGCTTACATACGTCAAGGGATGAAATGGCAAAAAATGATCCGCACGATCTCTGGAGCGCCTACCAGCACAGCAAAACTGTGCCAAGGGAAAGAGGACAGTTCCAGATCAAGCACGCGGTCTCTCCGGCTGGAGACCCACCTGATGATCTTGCTGCAGGCTGCGCACACAGGGGTCCGGCTGCTGTCCTCTGGGGCCTGCTGCGCCGCCTGCACGATGGAGCTGCGGTTCTGCATGGGTGTCGGCTGGGCGGGCTGACTGTGCCGGGTCAGAACCGTGCTGGTCTTGTCAGGGTGGTATCGATCCGCAAAGTTGGGGTCTGTGACCCAGGGCGGACGACAAGAGGGCCCGGCAGCAGGTCTAGGTGTCATTTTGGCTAAAAAGAGAGGGGGGGGGGGGGAAATGGCCATTCTTTTTAATCTAGTAAGAGTGGATTTGGGGAAGCATTACCCAAACTAGCACAAGTGCTCCATCTTTGTCCATTTTTTTTAAAACACCTGCAATTAAGGATTGGAAAAGAAAGGAGGCACTAAAATAATAAGCCTCCAGTACTTTCAGGTAAAAAAAAAGGAGAATTGCACCCTTTGTAAGAGTTGTACACTTGTCACAGATGAGTGAAAAGTGTTGGGTGATGTACTAGAGCAAGCACAATGATTACGGTGAAGTTTTGAGGAACATTTTGCAGAGGGTTTTTGGTCTTTCTGGGTACACCCCTGATGACTACCTCAGGCATTTCTGCATTAAGTCCCAAAAGTGGGGAAGTGACTGTGCAAATGAGGGTTCTCAGACATGAATAATGAGTTGTTCTAAAGCCACTGGCATTTCTGACACTTCAAAATGACACCTTTTGTTTTATTTTTTTAAAGTTCTATATTTTGTGTTTTGAAAAGCGTGTCTTCAGAAGAACCCATTTCCTTAATCTTGGCATCTCCAACCCCTTTACTTCCTCCTGAGTTTCCACCTTGTGCTTCACAATTCGTTTAGATTAATACAATTCCTATTTTCCCCATTAAAAAAGAAAATCGCTAGTACAATAGTACAATCACTGAAAATAACTACTTTGGCCATTTCTGGTTCCCCCAGTGTTATAAGAACAAACTGTGCACGCGTCTCCGAAACCTCTGAACATCTGCACAGAATTATGAAACGCTTGTTCCGTGAATATGAAGAATATGAAGGTAGTGTGTTAGTCAAACCTATTGAGCTCAAATAGTCCGGTCTTTTATCTTAAAGAATGAACCATATGAAATAGGGACGTTTCACTTCCTGCGCTCACCCATCACAGCTAGTTCCAGACTGTGGTTCTGGTGAGGCAGGCCACGACAGTGCTTGGGTTTAGTGCATAGGATGCAATGCTCACTTGCAATTGTTTCACCATCTACTATATCTGGCCCACAGTATCCATTCTTAACTGCAATTTAACAATTTTAACATAAGAATTTAAAAGAAACATTTTTGCATTTCTTACTGGTACTTGTTAAAGTACCAGTAATGAAAGGGGAAAGTCTGCTTTACGGTTTGTGGTGATATGAATAATTATAAAAAAGGCGTGAATATCCCCAGATTGATTTGTGTAGTCTTCTAGTTGCACAATGAAGATGTACTTAGTGTCCTACTTTATCAAGCTCCTAATACATTAAACGGCTACAGTAAGATTTTGTGAAGCTTGATATATACCAGACGTACACTACACAGGGGCAGTATACTCAGTATACACAAGGGCAGGTTTCAGAAAGCATTTGAGATACTATACCACTGAAATGTGCTACCATGCAACATTTGAGTTACCACAGAAATTGTGACCTATATTTTTGGGGTACACAGATCCCATTTCCTTACCTCCACCAGGTTTATGGGCAGTTGTGCCAACTGTAGCAGCAGCAGCTCCAGTCTTGGCAGGAGATTGATTCGTCTCATGGCTGTGAAGGAAAGCCGTTTTAGAACCCAGGTTCATACAGTACACGGGTATCAGCAGGTAGGATGCTACAGCCTCCAGCAGAACGTTTTATGAACACTTTCACTCCAGTCTAGTCTTGGCTTTCTATGCAAATTCAAGAGTGGATTTCATAGACGATAACAACAACAAAAAAAATCCATATTTGCACAAATTGAAAGAGCCAATATAAACACTGTCCAAAATGGTACACAAAGCTTTAGGCAGTGAACAAACCCTGGACTTGTGTCCAGACTTGTCAAAGTACACTACGTATTACTCGCCCCCCCACCCCTCCCCATCTCCAACTTCCGTTACCCCTCTTTTTTGTCGACATTTCACATCAATATATAAAGTGAATCGCCCATTTTTAAAAAAATTTAGGAAGCCTTTATTTTAAAGAAAATGTGGGGGGGGGACCAGGTTGATAATGAAATGATACCACTAAGACTCACTCCTGAACAAAGCATCTTCTCTACATTTTTAAGCTCCTTTAACATAAGTAGCTTATTTGTAACTGCGATGTGGCACTTTGGTGCCTGCAGTTCTGTTCAGACTCGTGTCAACGCCGTGACTCTTTATATTAAATCAACAGCTCCACATGGCTGGAAACTGTGGAAAGAAATTCAGATAAACAGCATTTGCATTACAGCACTAAGATTTTGCTAGACTGTGAAAAATAAACAAGCCTTTATCGTGTTATTTTAGTCTTGCAATTTCACAGAGAAGTGACTTTTCTTTGCAAAAACGGATCCAAATTTTCTCACAAACTCACCTTCATTTTAGGAAGAAAGAAAATGCTTACATATGGATAAAACCAAGTCCCAGATGTCTTTAGTTTTGCAAAGTGAGTATTTTTGCATTTTAATACAGGAAAATGCATGAAAAACTAAATTAGAACAAAACTTAGAATTATTTTTTCTTCCAACTTGATTCATTTCCAAGATGTTACCCTTTTGCCCTGCCATATACAAACAAAAAAACACTCACATACTCGTATGACTACAATAGAGGTGATGCTCGCCATACATAACTGAATGTGTAAAAACTTCCTGAAACTATTTTAGCAGAAAACGACAATTGACCTTATTCACATCTTCATTAATGATCTCACTGTGCAGAATTTAGGGACTCTAAATAAATTATGAATAAAGTACTGTTCTCAAATGTAATATCCTTGTCACCCACAACCCATTGAACAGAAAATTACTCCTGAAGTGCCAGTCCATAAAAGATACAAAACTGAACCAAGGAATTATAGACAAATAAGACAGTGACTTATTAGTCTTAATTTTTAATCTTCCAGACAATGTGAAGAGGCAATAAAAAGGACAATCTTAGGATAAACAAAGCAGTGATAAAACAGTTTAAGTTTCTAAGGTAGACCCCATTTAGAATTCTGTGCGCAACTTTGGTCAAACTATCACTTTGCTGGTCCAGAAAAAATAATCCTAGGCTAAATAGACAGTAAAAACAGATTTTTTTTTTTTTTTTTTATCGGGATCAGAGAAGATTGAAAGTCTTGAAAAGGCTCAGACATAAACAAAGTCAATCTGTTGTACTTGGAAATGTGGGATTGCTTTAAAGGCACTTTTGTTTGCACACAGGGTTTTGGAATTCTGGAACAAGTAATCCACTAAAACAACCCCGTTCCCCCCCCCAGGAAACGGTTGAATGAAATCCTTGGAGCAACAGCTACTAGCAACCAATCCAGAGACCGGATGGGCCCAAATGACGTCCTGTTTGTACCTTTTCTCACGAAACAAAAGCTACTAGCAGCTTTGATTTGCTTTTGTTTTCTCCTAAATGAAACATGCCAAGTATGACCCTGTCTCCAAGTCAAATCCGATCTTGTACTTCACATGAACTTCTGGACTTATACCTCAAGTATACCTCTAGAACCCGTCTTCCACATTTGGGCAGCATCTAAATGTCAGAATTCTACATCGGTGTGTGTATATATATATATAGTTTTGTACCCACAAACAGAACACCAAATACCTTCATTGCAAATCATATGAACCCGGATGGAAAGAAATGCATGTATATACACAGATTGCACTCCGTCAAGTCTTCTCAAGCTTATCGCCATGGAAACATCTAGCAGAACACTGCTCCAGTGCCTTGCAGTGACGCATGTGCAGCCTTTCAAACAACCCATGTGAAAGAGCTACCTGAATTAATGCTCATTTAACCAGAAATAACAGAACACTTCAAAACCCCAAAATAAGATTTTACGATTCATTGTTTGTCGCAGGCTGAGGCACAGAGGGAGGACAATTAAAATATTTGGAACTTACTCTGGGTAAGAACTCCTGAGAGCATACTGTATGAAGCGGACAGAGATTGTAGTTGACACAAAAGGGGAAATGGAAAGTAAAATCATTGTACCATCCGCGTCCCTCTTTACACTCAAGGTACATTGTGGGCAATCGCTGGCGGCCGCTTCTCCATGCAATGTTGCTTCACGAAGGAGATCATTTGACATCCCCCTGGCTGCTGGAAGGCCTTTTGGAAAAACAACTTACACACCTGCTCCCTCAGATGAGGACTCCAAGGATGCGATTTAGATTAGGATGTTAAAATGGAAAGAAAAATGTCTCTGTATATAAACAAAACCACAAAATTCACCCTCTCACTCCATCCAGACAGCCCCTCCCCGAAAGAGCCCTTACATTTCTCATTAGTGTACAAATCAGTTCCCATTTCTAAGCTTAATTGGCATTCTCTGACCTTCTGCTTTCCAACATCAGCTTGAAGATTAGGCAAACATGTCAGGCCGTTGCTGTTTTTATTTATTTCTTAACTGACACACCCCATTTCAGCTACATTAACTGCTAAAGTGGACCACAAGCTTCATTAGTTTTCCTCATTAGTTTGGATCTCATCTCTTCTTAAGTAGAGGCACATTTAACAGTTCTCTAGACCATGCTGTGTTGCAATTGTAACATTTACCGTACAATGGATTCTTATCTTAGGGTTTAGTATTGCCTTTTGATTTTAGTCTAGCTGTTGCGACCTATTAAACACTGAATCTACATTTTTTGCACTCATTTAATGAGAAAACATTTTCAGTTTGCCACTAAGGAATGGAAATTGGATGACACTACAGAACGTTTTATTCTTCATTGTAAGATTTCAAATGATAGTTTAATTTTCATTTGTTAAACGGTAGGATTGAAGTATTGCTACAATCAATCTATTCCTTAGGCTGGTTACACAACGAAAATAATCAAAAGTGTATGTGTAAAACAGAAGAAAAGACCTAAAACACAAAAAGTTGTCTACTGATGTTATTTTAGATTTTCCTTCTCTGGAAAATAGACAACAGATTCTGGCTTTTAAACCTAAGGGAAGCATCACAACTTTATTAGACAAAGTCAGTGAATTACATCTAAAAAAACTAAACATCACGAACACATCAAATGGCACGTATATAAACAAGTAAACAAAAGATATTTTAACACAAACCAATGTTACAGTACTGAGGGGCAAAGAACATTTTAGCAGGAATTAAGATTAAGTATTGCGTGGTAAATCCTGAACTGTTAAATGTTTTTGTAGTCTAGTCTGAAAGAGATTCTTACCCTTTAAAAATATACTGTAGGTAAAGTTCTCCTTCATGTACTGTATAAAGAAGACATACATCTAATGGCAAGGAGACGCACAAAATAGACTCAATCCAGCCATTTCTGAGACCCTGATTAGCACTAATCATAAACCACCTACTGCCATGCCAGATTAATAAGTCTAAAAGGAGTTAACTTTTGAAAGGTGAAACAGGCCATAATGTGGAAACCCTTGATTCCTGGCCTTAAATCTCATGCTGCCTGTAGGAATTTACTTCTTTTAAAACATGTGTTTGCTCAAAACAAAAACAACCTATTACCCACTACTGCTACTGTTCCAACTTCATAGACAAAAACATTACATATCAACAACTCAAAATACTTGATGGGAAAGGGGGATACAGTTGTGCCAAGAAGTCAATGAACAAAACCTATTCTAAAAACTATTCTACTTATGACAGCAGTTCACAATTCTTATCAAGCTCAAAATCTAGGTCCTTTCATAGACACGACAAGACACATAAGCTAGATCAAGAGAAGAGAAAACCCACCAAAATGAATAAAACAAACAAATTGAGACAGCAAAAAAAAAATCTTTTTGGCACTTTTTGAATATTTTATGCATTAGTGAAAGCAGAAAGAGAAACATCAATCACTGAATTTCGCTTTTGTGGGAGAACACAGAGATGACAGATCAGAAGTGAAACATTGAAATGAACAGTTTAGAATACAGAGCAGAGAGAAGATATGGCAAAAGAGCATCCAAAGAATTCAGAAACGATGTGCAGAACTCATCTCCATTACTGTGAACTCCGCTATTGTAATCTTTTTCTCAGGGGCACTCTCTAAAGAGATACAGATCTGTTTGACAGGGGGCTTTGGCATTATCTCTTTCTCACTGCTCTTGTTAACAAAGGGGATTCATCATCAGGCTCAGTTTTCAATTGTCCACTTTGGCTTTAGGTTGCAATTTTTTTGCTCGCAATTTATTCTCCCCCCCAATATCAATCAATCAAGGGCATTTCAATCCTGGTGGCGCCAGTCGCTGCTCGTAAAGGAGATGCTCGCCACATCCTTTGTTCCGTTTGTGGGCGCTCAGGACTTGATATTGAGGGCACGGGCAGACCGCTCATGATGCCAGTCACGGAGCCTGGCATAGCGAGGGCTCTGGATTTCAGTAAGGAACTTTTCCCTAAAATGAGAGAAAAGAGAGAGAGAGAAAGAGCGGAGAAGAAGGGAGAAAAGAAAAGGCCACTAACACAGAGAAAAAAATCCTGCAACAAAACCAGAGACCTTTTTAAAGCCACAGAGGTCAAATACCCCAGCTGTCAATCAGAAATCAAGATCTCGGGTCAACTTCTAGGATTGTTTTTTAGAAGAAAAGATTTGTGGGGGGGAACTACACAGATCTGGGCAT